CCTGGGGAAGGACACCACGGGGGTCTCGGCACCGCTGCCTCTGGGGCAGGAGGTGCTAGGAGCAGAGACTCGGGTCTGTGCGTCCCATCAGGGAGTGCTGTCAGTCCGTACGTCCCGTTTCTGGCCCGGTGCTGGGCAGGACCAAAATTTGGCACAAAGCCGACCGTGTGCGCTAACGGGGAAACTGAGGCAGGGGCTGGTGGCTCGCATGGGGGGTCCCAGCTGCTTCAGGTGCCCTCCGAGCCCAGCGCCCAGCTCCGGGACACCTCCTTGGGGCACTGGAAGCGACTGGGATTGGGCCGATGGAGCCGGGCACCCCCAGGTCTCCGCCATCCGGCACCGCTGGCGCGAGCTGTGCCGGCCCTGCCCCGGCCGGGGGCTCCCTCCCGGAGCTGCTCCCAGGGCCCCGTCCCCGTCCCGCTCGCCCCAATTGGAGCTGACGTGCTCTATTTGTCAGAGATAAAAAATAGCGGAGGAGGAATGGAAAGACAGGAGGCACAGGAAAGCAGTTTGGTAGTTAGAGACAGAGGAACAGAATTAACGTGCAGTGGGGGATTTGGAGCGAACACTGCACGCATTGTAATCCGATAGGGGCAGGGGAAAAAAGAGAGACCGAGAGAGAGCGGCTGACCCCGAATCCCCGGGGGAGACGCGGGGAGAGCAGCAACGAGGAGAGAGTGAAGGATTCCAGAGGTGGACTGGCTTCCTCTTTCACCAGACAGACACAGGGGAGACGGGCAGGGCGCCAGCGCCGTACCTGCACTTCCAATCTGAGCCATTGACAGCTGGAGCTGCCTGGGGAGGGGGCGGGGGGCGGCCGAGGGGGCTCGAGCCGGGGACGCACGGGGGCCAGCGGCCGACCCCACTCGGGGTGCGCGGCTGCGCCCGAGCCCCCCAACAAGGGAACCCGGGGGGTCCCCGGGGTGCCGGCACCGGAGGGGTCCCTGCCCGCCACCAGGCTATGGGGGGGGCTCGGGCGGCACCTGCCCTGCTGGGGGAGCGGGGATCCCAGCTGGCAAGCATCGGGAGCGAGGGGGAGGGCGGCTCGCAGCTCGCAGCAACTAAATCAGAGGAAGAAAGGGGGCTGCCGAGCCCGCCCGCCGGGGTCACACGTGTTTCCTGGCAGCCGCGCAGGTGCTAAGCAGGGCTGCAGGCGGGGAGCACCTTGTGATGGATCATGTGGGGGGCGCAGCAGCTCATTGCCCCCCCCCCCCGGGGACAGGTAGTTGAGAGCAGGGGGCTCGCCCGGGGCTGGATTTCAGCCGTGGTGGCCGCGGGACCCTCGTGGGGCGGGCAGTGCGGTGCCCAGCTCCGTGCCCCCCGGGGTCATCCCCACGTCCCCACGTCCCCGGCCGGACACGCGGCTCCCCCAGCAGGGCACGGTGACCAGGGACGCGGTGCCGGGGCTGTGGCACCGTCCCCAAATCCTAGGGCACCCCCGTGACACCGAGCACGTCCCGCAGCGAGGTGGTCGCACCGAGCGCTCCTGGTTTGCTGCGCCCCCCTCCTTCATCCCCGTTCCACCTCCAAAAGGCTTCGTCCAGGTCCTGGGGCACCCCTGGGGGTTTGGGAAGGGGGTCCGGAGGCGCAGCCCCCCTCACTCGTGCCAGGGGACCCCAGCACGGTGACACTGAGTGGCAGAGGTGTGCCGGTGAGCGCAGAGCTCGGGTCAGGGCAGGCGCACGGTGCTGTGCCCCCTCCCCGTGCCTCCTCCTCCCCGGGTCCTGGGGATGTGCGGGGGGCACCAGGGGGTGTGCGGGGGGCACGAGCACGGCGGCAGCGCGGCCCCCTCCCCCCTGCCATCTGCGGGTTGCTGCAGGATTAAGAGGAGGAAATCTGGAATTGGGTTACTCCCGATATTGAACCTGCCCTGACGATGGTTTTTATTTTGCTCCGTTCCGATCGAATTGGATGCAGCCCCCTCCTTAGCCCTTAATGGCTTGGCTTTGAGAATTTCCTTCGAAATTACGCCGCTGGCTTCCTGTTCGCAGAGCTCCCCGGAGCCCCGCAGCCGTGCGGAGTGGATGGGGAAAGTGAACCCCCTCCAGAGCCGAGCTGGGGCGTGCGCGTCCTGCCGTGCCCGGGGGTGCCCACGGCACCTCTGAGCCCCCTTCGCCGCCTTTCCTGCCCCCCCTGGGGCCAGGGCTGAGCCTGGTGAGCACCCGGTGCCCTGGCTGTGTGAGGAGATATCCCTGTGGTGGAGCTCTCCCCGTCCCACTGGGGTGTGGAGGAACTGGGAGCCACTGGGATGGGTGGGCAGCCTGTAAATCCACGCGTGCCAACGGGCTGCGGTCCCACCTGGCACCCCAAATCCTTGATCCCAGCTCCCCTGTGGGTCCCCAGGATGGGTCTGGGCGCACAGCGTGCAGCATCCCCCTGATTTTCCAGAGCCGTTTTTCCCTTCCTGGTGGGTGCAGGAGACAAATGGGTGGGAGCTGGAACCAAACTGGCCTGGGAGCATGTGGGAATGGCGAGGTTTTGGTTTCTCCCCACAGGGCGGGTTTCTGGGGGTGCCCGAGCCCCCTGCAGCTGGGCAGCCCGGCTGCTCGGGGGTGCCGCCCGCTTCCCCGGGGAGGTGTGTTTAAAGACCCCTTCCCTTTCTTCTCCGGGACCTCTTTCAGGCTTTACTAGCTAACCTATAATTTTCACCTGCGTTATTTTAATGGCCCGCCAGCTGCACGCCTCGCCGCGGGGCGGGGGCGCGGGGGCCAGGGGGGGTGGATGGAAGCGATTGGGGGCAGCAGCCACGTGCAGGCTCCCGGCCCGGGCACGGCAGCGTGCGGGGGCACCGGGGGCCGTGCGTCCTGCCTCGGGGACCCCAAAAACCCTGAGGTTTTTGCTGGTGTTTGGTGTCCCCGGGCCCCCTCCGGAGCAGACGCGCAGGGGCGATGCAGCGTGCGGCACCAGGAGGGGTCTGGGGGCTGTTGTGCCCCCATCTGCACCCCCCCAGGAGAAGCTCGCCTCGCCAGGACCGTGTTGGAGGCAGCGTTTGCTGCCGGGTGCACGAGGCAGAGCGGCCGTGGATTGAATTTGTGCTGGGGTGCAGAGCTCTGCGGGGTCTGCGGGCTGGCAGCGGGCACATGCAGCACGGAGCCGCCTTCAGCAGAGCTTCGTTTGTGCTAAATTAAACACAAACGCGTTTAAATCCTCGTGCCTCGTTAGCTCCTGTCTCCGGCAGGGTGTCGATGAGCATTTCTGCCTCGAGGTGAGGAAGGTGCCGGGTGCTGGGCGCTCCCAGCCTCTGCTCGGGCACTGTCGGAGCTCAGGCCAGCACCGCCGTGGGATGCCCACGAGGATGAGGATGAGGATGAGGATGAGGATGAGGATGAGGATGAGGATGAGGATGAGGATGAGGATGAGGATGAGGATGAGGATGAAATGTGCTCCCGTGTCGAGCCCACAGCCTCTGGGCATCACAAACAGAGCTCTGAGGGTCCCTTCGCCTCCTTGCACCTTGTCCGTTCCGTTTCCTTTCCCCCAGCTCTGCCTCCAGGCTAGCGGCCGTGCCCGTGGCCATGGGCTGGTCTCACACCGGGCTTTTCTCTCCAAGAAAAACCAGTGCCAGGGCTGAAGGCAGGGGCTGGGCTGCAGCAGGGCCGGGGAGCGGAGCCACAGGGATAGCTCCAAGAGGAGCTGCTCCCTGTAACCGTGTCCCCCGAGCCAGCAGGCGTGCACATCCCGCAGCTACCTGTGACTTCACGGAGCAAAAATGCGCTGGAAAATTGCTCAGCACCCGGGCAGGTCCCAACACACCGCTGAGAGCCATCGCCCCACGGCTCTGCGCGGCTGTCCGCCCGTCCCCTGGCTCCAACCAGGGAGCACAAACATTCCCCAGAGCCGGGAGGGCTCCTGCTGACCCCGGGAGGTTTCCCCATCACGGGGTGCGTGCGTCGGAGCCGGGCAGGGGGCTGAGCGGCCGCACCGGGGGGCACCCGGCACCATCCTGCCAGGCGCACACCCTGCCGTGCCCGGGGTCGGGGTGCTCGGGGACCCTGTCCCCGTGCCACCGCCGCAGCCTCGGTGTGTGTGGGGACGGGTTGGCGGCGTCCCCTGCGATCGGTGAAGCTTCATCTCCGTGCTGGGCGCTGCGACCCCAGCGGCAGGGCTCGAACGGGCCCCCCTGCAGCTCTCCTCCCTCCCCAGCGCCTCCGGAGTGCGCTCTCGAAGTGTCCGTCAGTGCTCCTGCTGAGGGGCAGGGCGGCTTTCCAAACCCCTTTCTCCAGCTCTGAGACCTCTAACACCGAAATTAAAAACACAAAACTTCCCTCTGCGCAGAGCAGAGCGCTCCCAAATCCTCACACCGAGCCCCCTCACAGCCTGGGCTGCGTTTCCTTTAGGATTCGCTCCACGCATGAAAGGAGGACCCCGGTGACGGCCGTGCTTTCTGCTGGGTATCCAGCACCCCCAAATCCCTGGGGCTCCTCCACGCACCCCCTCCTCCGTCCCCCACCATCCCCATCCAGTCTCAAGGGTTCACCCTCGCCTCCGGCGTTGCTCCGCGCCTCGTCCCGCGGGTCCCCGCGCCCCAGCCCCGCAGGCACCGGGCTCAGCCCCCAGCAGGGGCTCAGCCTGGCTCCATCCCGCACGCTTTATAGCCTCGAGCCGCCGTTTTGGTGAGGTTAGGAGGGAAATTCAGGGCATTTCATTGCCCGGCAGCCAGGGGCCCAGCAAATCTCCGAGCAAGCCCTGCCTGGGGGAGCGCAGCCCGGCGCTGAGCTCGCTGCGCCGCCTGTAATTTATTTCCCCAGGAAGCCCGGCTCAGCTGCAGCATCTGGTTTGCAGAGCCCCTGCCTTTTACCTGCTCCTCCAGCTGGGCTCTGGCGTGGCACAGGGGGTCGGTGCTCGCCCCGGGCCCCCCTGCGGGAATCGGGGGAACGGAGCTGGGGCGCGGCTCCGTCGCTTGCAGCGGGCGAGCGCGGTGAGGGCGAAATTGGGGTCTGGAAGGAAGGAGGCTGCTGCCCGCGGGCTGAACCGTACTCACTTTTAATTATACGAGCTGCTCAGGCTTTATATTATCATATCAATGACATGAAACACCAGCATGTATTGATTAAACTCAACAAACGCAGCACCCCAGCACTCAGAGTTCAGGGGATGGCGTGGCTCAAAGCTGGAGGGGACGAGGGGAGCGGGACGGGCCCGGCGGCGCCTTCCCCCGGCGCTGCTCCATCCGAGCGGGGCGGGCACGTCCAGGCACCGGCTCCCCCGGGCACCCGCGGGGGGCTGGGGCCGGGACCCCCGGTCCAGGGAGCGCCGGGGGGGTCCCCGCGGCTGGCGCTGCTCCAGCCCTGCTGAGTCCTGGCCACCTCCCGTCGGTGGCCCCCCCTCCGGCAGCGTGCGCTCGGGGCGAGGTCCCTTGGGTGACGCCGTGCGGCCGCCCCCGGCAGCAGGGTGAAGGCGGGAGTAGTGTCCGTGGCTCCGTGGCTGTGGTTTGGTGTGTGTGGCTTTTCCATCCTTCCTCCTTCTGCTCCTCCGTGTCGTCCTTCCTGAAGAGGTTTGGGGGGGCGGGGGGGGGATCATCTAGCTCCGAATCGCCGTCTTCCTGTCTCGGTCTTTACTCTGCAGAGAGAGGGGGGGGGGGAAGGCCGAGTTAAGAAAACACACCTGGGGCCGGGAGCTTTGCCAGCGCTGGCGGCGGCCGGGAGCCTCTCGCTCCCCCCCCCCCGTGCCGGTGCCTGGCAGCAGCTCCGCACCGGCTCTTCCGAATTTTTGCCCCCCACGTGTCCCAGGAGCTTGGGGGGGACCCTGTTCCCGCAGGTGCCCCCACTGCTGCTGGCACCCTGGGGACACCAAGCTGTGCCACCCTGCTCCTGCTCTCCCCTGAAGCCACCTTCCCCATGAGCCCCCCCAGGACAGAAGCCCCCGCCCTCACCAAGGGCTCCGGTCCCAATCCCTGCACCCGGGACCAGGAGCGGCGCTGCCGAGGTGCCAAAAGCACCGACCTGTCCCTGTCCCCATCCCTGTGTCACCATCCGCAGCCTGCAGCAAATTTGCTGCTTGCAGCAGCCCCGCGGTGGTGCCATGGCCGTGAGCCTCCCCAGCACCAGAGCAGCCCCACACCAGTTCCACCAGTACAACCACTGCCACCAGTACCAGTACCACCAGTACCACCAGCATCATCACTGCCACCACAGCACAAACCAGCATCACCTGTACCACCACCACCACCACCACCACCACCAGTATCACCAGCACCACCACCAGCACCACCAACCCCACCACAAACCAGCAGCACCACCACCAGCACCACCACTATCACCACCAGCACCACCAGCACCACCAGCACCACCAGTATCACCAGCACCAGCACCACCAACCCCACCACAAACCGCCCCCAGCACCACCACTGCCCCCGCGCACAGAGCCACCGGCACCCCCCAGGCAGGTGGGCGCAGGCAGGGCCGGTGCTTCCCATCTCCAGTTTGCCAGGACTCGTGGCCACCGGGGGCTGGGGGCCCGGGAGCTGTGGCCGTGCCCCTCTCAGTGCCGTGGGTGTCTCGGTGCCGCGGCGTGTCGGTGGTGCAGCCTCCCCCCCCCCCGGCTGCACGTGCGGCCCCTGCTCTGACTCTTCCTTTGTTACCGGGGGTGGGGAGGGGAGGGGAAGGGGAGTTCAGCTCAGAAATGGTAAAATTAAATTTCCCAGATGTTCAGGCCCCAGGAGTTCTTGTGCTGTCTGGAGAGGAAATGGGGATTCGGAAAATCCCGCCTCATATTTTTTCCCCTATCACCTTGCCTTTCCGCTGCCATTAAGTGCAGCAGGAACAGTAAATTACAGGGCTGCGGAGCCGGCACATCTCGGAGATACCGTGGGGGGAGCGGGGCACGGCGCTGGGCTCTGCCCCAGGCTCTGGAAGCGCTGCCCTGAGTGTTTTGGGTGCTGGGTGCTGGTGTCCCGGTGGCACCCGGTGCGTCTTGGCTCTGCCCATCCTCACCGCCCCAAATCCTCGCTCAGCACAGAGCAGGGAGCTGCAGGAGGGGTTTTACTGCAGCAGCAATATCAGGCGGGGGCTGTGGGGTCAGCAGGCTCTGCCCAGAGCCATCACCTCTCTCCTTCCATCCCCATCCCAGCCCTGACTCAGGCTGCGAATCCCTCACCGGGGGCTGAGTCACGAACCCGTGGCTCAGGGGCTGGAGCGGTGCAGCCCCCGCTGACCTGGGTCTCAGCATTTTGGCAGCTCACCCACGCTCTGCTTAGCAAACCCCCTGGGATGTGACCTGGTCCCCCGGTGTCCTCGCCCCCCCTGGTGCCACTGAGCTCCTGCGCCAACGGCACAGGCTCGGCATCAGCGCTGCCTCCCCGGGGCTTGGCCTCCAGCCTCTGCTGGCCTCAGCTGTGCCGCTGGGCGCGGTGACACCGGCCACGCTGGCAGGGCCCCTCGCCAGTCCCCGGGGTCCCTGCAGGCAGCTCCCCGGCCTCGTGCTTCCCAAGGTCCCATCCCGGGACAGAGGAAGACCCCCGGTCCTCCCGTTCCCGGTGCTCCGGGCACCCCCGGCGCAGGGTGGCCGTCCTGGGGACGAGGGACAGCCCTGCAGGCTGGCAGGGCAGTGCCACCAGCACCACCATGTCCCCACCCCAGTGGGATCGGGGAGGCTCAGCCGTCCTGGGTCAGGCTCATCCTGAGCCCCGTGGCCCCTTTGGAGCGCTTGGGGCCAGTCCCAGTCACTGCTCTCAGTGCCCCCTCCCCAATTTGCTCCCTTGCCAGTGCGTGCTCCCGCTCCAGGAGTCAGCGTGGCCGATGCTGGGGACGTGTCCCTTGTTCCTTTAGCAGCCTGCGGTGCTGGCACCGAGCTGGGGGAGCCGTGCAGCTCTGCCCCGTGCCCCCTCCCCACATTTTCCTGCCCCTCGGTCCCCACCGTGACAGCTCCGCGCCACGCAGGCAGCGGCGCCGTGCGCTTGCGAGGGCTGCGGGCACGCAGAGCGCCGCGAGGGGCCTCGACCCTCAACTTTTTTGAGCAGGAGGCCGTGCTTGGACGTGGGTTTTTTGTGCTGGACTGGCTCCGGTCCTCCCCCCAGCCCGGGCTGCCCCGCACCGTGGCTGTGTCCAGCAGCCCCTCCACCCGAGGAGCTCCCTGGAGGAGACGCAGCCACGGTTCCCCCCCAGCGCCGCGTGTCCCCAAGGGGACAGCACCCCGAGAAGAACCCCAGGGGAAGCCCAGGGGCTGGGTGGTGAGGAGCCAGCTCTCACACAGCACCCCGTCCTTGTGAGGGGAGCCAGGACCCCCTGCTCGCAGGGTCACAGGTCCCTGGCGATGAGGGACCGTCCCCTCCGTCCCTGCCACCTGCCTGCAGCACCACGCACACGTGGCAGACGCGCTGCCCCTACCCAAATGGCTTCGCCTCCCTCCTGCTCACACCCTGACCTGCACAGCCCCAACCCCACGCAGTTTTTGGCCTTTTGGTTAGGGCCAGGACTGGCCCAAAACCCAGCAGCCGCCCTCCTGGGCAGCCCCTCAGCACGGCCCAGCCATTCTCCGGCCAGCAGTGGAGCCCTGTGTGTTTTTGGGGAGGCTCTCTCCAGGGAGATGGCGGTGGTTTCGGCCAGGCAGGGAAAAATCCCTGAGGGAAGGCGTCAGGATGCCAGGGCAGGAGGCTGGGCTGAGTCACGCAGCGTCAATCCAGGCGAGCCCCGTGCCCGCCGCGGCGCCGCGCTGCCGGCAAGACTGGGACGAGGCAAAAAACCCAGCTCCGAGGAGCCTGCAGAAAGCGTCCTGCCACGGAAAGCGTCCTGTCCCCGTGTCCCTCGGGGTGCCACAGCAGCCCCAGAATCCCACCCGAGCCCCCGTCCTGGCACCCCTCACCGCAGGGCTCCTGCAGGCTCAGGATGGGGACGGCACGGGGCGGTGGGGAGGGCTGGGAGCCGGGCAGGCGCGGGGCCTTTTGGGGAGGAGGACGCGGTGGTGAGTCAGATGCAGGAGCACGGCGTGTGCCAAGGTGTCTGCCACTGCTGGCTGGCTTGGGGAGGGCAGCATGGCATGGCACGGCACGGCACGGCACGGCACAGCATGGCACAGCACGGCACGGCATGGCACAGCATGGCACGGCACGGCACGGCACGGCACGGTGGTCTCCAAGCATTTCGGGACAACTGGTGGCAGAGGGGCTCCGCAGGGCGGTAGCACGGCGGGACTTGTTTTGGAGCCCCATGAAGGGGCCCTAAAATGAAGGTTGCCCTAAAAAGCCCTTTCTGTGGCAAACTGGAGAGCCAGAGCCAGGCAGGCTCCGTGGCGTGCGGTCGCGCTGGTTGAGGCGGCACCCGGACACGTAAGCACAAGGGAGGGTGGAAAAGGGAGCGCTGCTGGGGGGGGACGGACGGGGAGCTCGGGGCCGGGCACCCGGCCGCAAACGGGCAGAGGCTCGGGGCTGCGGGTGCCGGAGCCCCCTCGCACCAAGGTGTTGGTGCTGGATGAAAGGCCGGAGCTGGCACCCATGGGTGCTGGCACGGCTTTGGGTGCAAGTGGTGCCACGGGGGGCCGGCGGCTGCCGAGAGCCGGGGCGAGGGGCTGGGAGGTGCGGCTGCGCCGTGTTCGCAGCTCCGGAGGAGATGGCTTTCATTTCCTCGCCGCTTGTCAGAATGCCTTCCTGATAACAGGCGGTTTGGTTTATTCCTTTAGCACACAATAAAACCCACCGGGTCGTTACCTGCCTGGAACACCTCAAGCGCAGGCTGAATGCGTAGGCAGGGCCCGTGCAGACCCCAAACCTGCCCGATTTATACCCAAACCCAAGGATCTCGTCCCCTGGGCGCCTGCTCTCGGGGAGGGTTACCCAGAAGGGAGGCGGCCGCCTGGGCCCGGGGCTCCTGCACCGTTTTGTCCTTCCCCTGCACCCTGGCACGGAGCAGCCCCGGGGTTTGCCCCCGCGCGGGAGCCCGTGCCAGGAGCGGGTGCAGAAGCGGCAGCTTTGGGGATTTACAGGAGCTGGTGCCAAAGTGGCAACGGCAGCGAGAGAAACGGAGGGCGCTCGGTCTTTGGAGCTGGTACTGGAGGTTTCCGAGCAGGATTGGAGCTGGCGGTGGGGAATTTTGGCAATTTGGCCCTGCAGGAGCTTCCCCACCTGCAGCTCCTGCTGCTCATCGAGGGCACCGCGCAGCCCGCGGGTTGCGTCCTCCCCCTGGGAAGAGGTGGATGCTTGGGAAAGCCAAGGGCAAGGGAAGCACGAGGTGCCCGCGGCCCAAGAGGGAAGAGCTCGTCTGCTCCTCTGGGATGGCCCCGGGGTTGTCGGTGTAAATCCTGGCAGAGATCAGGGCTCCTCGTGGCCTTCCTCCTGCCTGCGGGTCCCGGGTCAATCTCCCGCGCGGGTGAGTTGGAAAGGACGCGCGAGGAGGATTAACGGGGTTTGGGGTTTTCCTGCTCTGAAACACTCGAGCTGCTGGAGCCTGCTCGTGGCTGGTTCCGCCGCCACTGCTTCACGCTTAATGAGCCTTGAATCCTCCGCAAAGACGGCTCCCTGCTCGGGACGTTACTCACCGGGGTTAAGCGGGTTCAGACGGGAGCGTGCACGCACGGCTCGGGCCGCCGGGCCCCCGCCTCTGCCTCGGCTCCCCCCGCTCACCTCTGCCCTGCCAGAGACCGTCTGCGACGTGCTGGGTGCCGAGAGGTTTTTAAAGCCCAGCACCGAGGGCTCAGCGCAGGCTCTGCCCCCTCCCCTGCTTCCCGAGACCCTCTCCCCGTGGGCTTTGTGAGCTCGGAGAGCCCCGAGCTGAGCAGGGCTGCGCCCACCCCTCGCTCCCTGCCCACCGCAGCCCCCGTGGCCACGCTGGTGCCAGGCTGGCAGCCTGTGCTTGGGGTCGGTCCTGGCACGAGGCCGCGCTGCCCACAGGGGCACCGGGGGCACAATGCGCCCCTAAGGGCACGGGGAAGTGGGGGAGCCCCTGGGGAACGGGGCTGGCCGGGGCCCTACGGCTCCCACTCACCCGGAGACACCCCCCGGTGCCCGTGGCGAGCTGGTTCCCAAGTGCTCGTCCCTCTGGGGTGCTCGGTGGGGCTCCCCACATCCCTGCGGCCCCCCTGGGCACCCGGCACAGCCCCCAGGACCCAGGCCCTGCTCTGGCAGTGGACGCAGGGCTCTGGCCACCGGCACCGAGGGGCTGAGAGCCGTGGCCAGCCCCACCACCACCTCGCTTCGCCTCTGCGCCTGCTGCCTGCGCTCCGCCGGAGCAGAGGTGCCGAGAGGGAAAGGGGTGCCTTTCCCTGTGCCTCTGATTTCCAGCTCCTAAAATCTCACCCGCAGAGGCTTTCCCCATCTCCCTTCGCCTTTCGGCAGGCAGCTGCTGGGGCTCGGGTGCCAACCTGGAGGTGCCAGAGGGAGGCACCGTGTTTGCCGTGCCTGGCTTTCGGGCTCCGGCGCGCTCTCCAACGCAGCTCCCGGAGCCGTCCCGTCCCCCTCTCCCTCACGGCTCCCCCGGCGTTCCCTAAAACCCCCCCCTCCATCCGAACGCCACTCACCAGCTTCCTCTGGTTGCTGAGGCAGAAAGTGCAGATCTGTTTGGGCTGGGAGTTCTCGGTGTCGCGCGCGGGGGGGCTGCCGCCGCCGTGGTGGTAGAAGGCCGGGGTGGTGTGGCACGGCTGCCCGTCCCCGCACGCCTCCCCCACCAGCAGCACGTTGCCCAGGTGGGAGATGTAGCTGGAGGCCAGTCTCAAGGTCTCGATCTTGGAGAGCTTCCTGTCGGCCGGCTCGGTGGGGATGAGCGTGCGGAGGGCGGTGAAGGCGGTGTTGACGCTGTTGGTGCGGTCACGCTCCCGCGCGTTGGCCGTGTGCCGCTGCCGGGGCTCCCTGCTGAGCCGGCCGGGCTTCTTGCCGCTCCTCCGCTTGCCGGCCTTCAGCCCGTAGCCGTCGGCGTCCAGGTGGTGGTAGGGCTTCTCGTCCGAGCCCGAGCTCTCGCTGCCGTTCTCCTCGTCCTCCGACAGCATGCTGATCTCGGGGTACAGGTAGCGGCTGGGGGCCGAGCGCAGCATGGCAAAGGACATGGTGCGCCGCGCGCGCCGCGAGGGGCACCGGGGAGCCTCCTGGGGACCGCCGCCGACCTCCTCCTGCTGCGGGCGGCCTCAGCTCCGCTGGCGCATGCTGCGGCCCCGGCTCTCGGCTCGGGGGGCCCCGGGAGGGCTCGGGCTGGGAGGCGCCGCGGCACGGGCAGGGGGGCCCCAGATCCCGGCTCCCCGCCAGCGCTCGCCGTGCGCCACGGGGCTGGGGGCTGCTCAGAGGCAGCGCTGCCGCTTCCCCCGCCGACACATGTGCATCTTAAGGCGCCGAGCGTGGCAGGAGCGGGGAGTTTTATAGCAGCAGCAGTGGTCAGCCAGGCCCCTCCTCCGTGCAGCAGCCCCGCTCGCTCCCAGCCGCAGGCTCACGCCTACCTGAGCTCACCCCCAGCCCGTCCCGGCACGTCCTGGGGGGGGGCTCAACCTTTCCGGGCTCCGTGGGGTCCTGCCTGAGGATGGGGGTGGCTGCAGCCCCCCCCCGGCAGCCAGCTCGAAGCACTTGTTGCCGTTCACCTGCTGGCCCAGCATGGGGGGGCTGTGGGTGGGCACGGTGCTGCTGGGTGAGGGTCCCCCCCCGGGGGGTCCCGGGGACCCTACCCGCTGCGGTGTGTGGGGGGTGCTGAGCCCCACATCGGTGGGGTGCAGGAGCTGCCGTGCCCAGGAGGTGGCCGGATTTGGGGGGGCTGCGGGTCAGGATCAGTCCCTGCAGGTAGAGCCCACCCCAGGGCTCGCCCCCCCCCCCTTCCCCTGGCTAAATCCATCCTACCGCTGCTAATGGGGCTGGGGGGGGGGAATTAACCCCTCAGGGGCTGCCAGCACCACCCCGGCCGGGGCAGCAGCTCCCTCCTGGCACAGCCGGGGGCTCTCGTTGCCCCCCCAGCCATCTCCAGCCCCCTATGGGCTGGGCAGACACATCCAGGCGTGGTGCCCGGTCCTGTCCCCATAACCTCACGGGCCCTGCTGATCCTATAACACCAGCACCTGCTTCCCCTGGACCTTGCACCCTGCCCCTGCTCCCCTCCTGCACTCATCCCATACACACCAACAGCTCCACCAGCCCCTGGGGGCACGCAGCGGGGCATCGAGCAGGGCCAGGCATCGCCTGCCACCCCCGTGGGGCAGCCCGGGCTCCCCAAACCGTGACCAAAGGAACCCAGGGCTCTGCGGTGCTTAACGGTGAGCGTGGGGGCTTGGGGGACCCCCAGCCTCCGGTTTGTGCTCCGCGGGGCTCTTGGCTCAGTGATGGTTTTGGGCAGGTTTGGTGCAGCCCCGGAGCCGCTTGATTTTATGGCACAGATCGCGGGTTTGGAGACACGGAGGTGCCCCAAGGCTGCTGGGATCCCGCACCCAGGGTCCTGGGGGCTGGGGCAGGCGGTGCTGTGCCCGTGGGTTGGCAGGGGGCTCCGTAACCTCGTAAAATGGACTGGGAGAGTGGGGGGCACGGTGCTTGTGGCTGGCAGACCTCCCTGTCCCCACGTGGCACCGCTGTCCCCACGTGGCACCGCTGTCCTGGTCCCGTGTGGGGCCGTGCCGGGCAGCCTGGAGCTGCGCTGCGTGGACCTGGCCCCCTTCAGGTGCTGCCAGGGACCCGTGGTCACAGCAGGGACCTGGGGACAGCTCCGCCACCCATCCCTGCTGGGGGGGACACCGGGGGGCTGCAGCAGGACGGGTGCCCCCGGGCGCTGTCACCTTGCGGCGCTGCGCGGCGCGGGGGCACCTGCGGTGAGCGAGGAGGGGACGGGGAATCCCAAACAGCTCCACAGACCCTGGGGACAGCGGGGACGGGGGGAGACCCTGCAGTGCTCAGCCCCCAGCACACCTCGTGTGCGAGCCCCCAGCACACCTCGTGTGCGAGCTGTGCTGCTGCTAAAAGCGGCTCCGAGCCGACTGGTGTGAAGTCCCCTCCGTGGCGGCGGTGGGCAGCGCGCCCCCCACCCGGGGGTGCTCCCCAGCAGCAGCCCCCCACGGGGTCTCGTCTCTCCGAGCAATTTTGCACCTTTGCAGCTCATCAGCGGCCCCAGCAGCTCCTGGAATCCCAGCCACTGTCATCCCCTTCCACGGCGCCGCGCGCTCCCCGTGTGTGCTTTGGAAGCCCGGGCTCCTGGAGGCATCTGCTTTCGTTTAGCTCCGCTAACGAGCCCGTTTTTCTCCAGCACCTTCCATCCAAGCGCGGTCCCCCGGCTCTCTCCCTGCGCTGTCCTTCCTGGTGAGAAGCACGTCCGGATCCCCGCGGCCCAGCTCCGGGCAGGAGGAGGGGAAGGAGGAGGAGGAAGGAGGGGAGGAGAAGAAGGGGGAGGAGAGGCTGCAGCCCTCCAGCCCACGCAGGGCGGCAGCAGCCCTGGCTGCAGGTGACGCTCGGTGCTGGGCTGTGGCCAGGGCACCAGCCCCGAGGCTGGCCCAAGGTCCCGGCTTTAAATATTCGGAGGTTTTTGGTGCTGTTGCCTCCTGGCTTCCCGCAGCTCCCGTCACGTCCCGCTTTGGGCACCGTGTCCCCGCGCTGGCCGGCGGGCAGAGCCAGGTGCAGGCGCCTTCTCGCAGGGAATCCGCGGCTGCACGGCACAGCCGAGGGGCCTGAACCCCCCCGCTGCCCCCCAGCCCCTGGCACAATTTGATTACCGGGGAGTTTGGCTCATCCACCCCGTGACACCGCTGCAGAGATGCTGCCCCCAGCACCCGCAGCCTCCCCTCTGCTCCCCAGACCCTGGCGCTGGGCTGGGGGCAGCCGGGTTTTTTCTAAGCCCTCCCCAGTTTGCCAGCCCCCGGGACGCTGCCCAGCTCCCCTCAGCAGCCCCACAGCCCATACAGGAGGGGGTCCTTGGGGTGCCCCTGTCCTGCAGCCCCCTAAGCCTGCAGAGGGGCCCTGTGCCCGTGCCAGACCCCCGAGGACCCCGTGGGCAGCCTGTTTGGGTGCAGAGCGGCCTCCAGCCCCTCCAGGTGCCGGGTCGTGGCCACCTGTGGGGCACGGGGGCTCCTCCTGTGCCCCCCACAGCCCCCAGCCCGCCAGCACCTGCCCCACCACTGCAGGGCACGGAGGGCGCGCCGGGGCTGATGGCTGCGCTTGCCCCGTCCCCTTTCTCCTCCACGTGGACCGGATATTTTCAAGAAAAGAATCTTTCCTACGCCGCTCTCCAGCTGCCAGGAATGTGCGTCTAGGAATGCCCAGGGCCCATCCAAGAACAACTTCCAGACGTGAGGCTGAGTGACGGCAGTCCCTCGCGCCAGGGCTCCAGACTCCCCCGCGCTCGCTCGCGGGACGCGGCTCGCCGGAGGCGATGTGTTAACGACACGGGGGGCAGCGGGTGGGTGGGAGGGGAGCGAGGGGGAGGGACGGGGCCGCGGCTACCGGGCTGCTCCGCACCGCTGGAAGCTCTGGCTGCGAGGAATTTTCGCTTTCCTCCCCGCTGCAGGGCTGGGGGGACGTGGAGCAAGCTGCCCCGTGGGGCAGCCCGGGCGCTGTGCGTCCCTGCGGGGTTTTGTGGCACCGTCGGCACTTGGGGTCTGCTCCTCTCGGGGGTCTTGTGGGACTTGGGGGTCCTGCTGGAGGACGGCCAGAGCTGGGGGCACCGCGCTGGGCCTCCCCACGGTCCCTGGGGTGTCCGTGCCAGGCACGTAGCTCGGGGTGAGCCCGTGGGGTGTCCTGGAGGTGCTGAGCCCCTCTTGTCCCAGCCGTGCCGGAGGCGCAGCCCAGGCAGTGCCACCCGGGGCAGCGCCAGGTTGGGCACCGCGCGCCCTGGCAGCCGTCGGGGCCAGCTCTGCCTGCGCACACACGGGACCCTGGGGCTCGTGTTGGAGGGGAAAATGTTCCAGGCCTGATGTGATCCTGTTTGTCCTCCTGGCAAGAGCTTCGCCCAGGGATTCCTGCGTCAAGTCCGCAGCTCCTGGCGCGGAGCTGGAGCCGGCCTTCGGGAAGAGACGCCCAGTCTGGGCTTCCAGGCTCCAGGCACGGCAGCAGCCCGGCTAAAAACCCACCCCTGCCCCTACGCCCACTGCGTGGCTGGAGCTGCTCCCCTGCACGGCGTTCCCGGGGCAGGTGGAGCTGGAGAGGGTGTGCGTGGAGGAGAGGAGGAGCCCAGAGGGGGATTCTGCATCCCTGCCCCTGCACCCGGCTACCTGTTGGTGCTTGTGGGGCGCAGATCCTTTAGTGCCCCCCCTCACTCTGCTGCCAAATGCACCTCGAGCTGCGCAGCCCCTGCAGAGCCACCACGGCTCCGGGATCTGTGCCCACAGGTGGCATTACTGGGGCTGTTGTGTCCCCTGCCCAGTTTGTCCCGTCCTGGGGAGCCCCTGCCCGGCTCAGTGCCACGTGTGTGGCGCTGCGGGAACGTCCCCAACCTTCCTGCTGCCAGTTTGGGACTTCTGCACCCGACTGAGCCGTGACCGAGCGTGGGGACACCCACGGGCAGGTGGCTGCAGAGCCTGGAGCACCCTGAGGACTCTTGGAGAGCTCCTTTCCTTAAACTGACCGTGCTTTGAGGCTCCCAGAGGTGTCCCCGTGTCCATCTGTCCACACCAGCAGCGAGCGGTGCCCCAGGGGAGCCCAGACACCGGGGGTCTGTGGGGTTGGTCCGGGAAGCCCCACGGTCCCAGCCGTGTCCCCGATGTGGATGGGGAAGTTCCTGGCCGGTTCCCCACGGGGGCTGTGCACATCCTGCGCTGACGTGTGCTCGGAGAGTGATGGATGGGTCCGCTGTGGCCCGGGGGGCTCCCCCCAGCTCTGCCTTCTCGGGGCTCCTGGCGCCTTTCCGTGGAGGCTCGGTGCAGCTTTGCAAGTGTTTATGGGGACCAGATGGTGCCGCGGGGTGAGGGTGACCCCTGACTGCGGGGTGTGGGGGGGCACAGGTCACGTTCACACCTCCTCCCTGTGTGTCTGTAATTGGGGACGGGGTCTCTGCGTTTTGTAACGCGAGGGCTGCCGGGGAGAGGCCGGGGGACCTCGCTCCGCGCCCGACCCCACGAGCCCCGAAGGGGAGGACGCGGCTGGGGCAGGTGAGGAGCGGGTCTGGTGCCGGGGGGGGCCTCATCCTGCCCTTGTGTGGCTGCACGGAGCCCTCCCAGGGTCTGCTGTGGGTGCTCAGGGACAGCTCAGTCCTTGTGGCCGTGTCCCCATGGGGGCTGGTGATGGGGACCAGGCGCAGCTCATCCCTGCCAGCTCTGGGGACAGATGCGGGGCTCAGCAGGACCCCCCAAAACTGTGCCCATGATTCCCGATTATCCACGGGGCTCCGGGGGCTGCTCCTGCCCCAGAGCTGGGACCCACGGCCACGTGCGGACCCCGGAGGCCGGAGAGGGGCCAGGAGGAGCGAAGCCCCCGGTGTGCGGGGGGCAGCCGCCTGCTCCCGCTGCAGGCAGCCAGGAACGGCAGCGGCCGGGTGCGTGCGTGTGCAGGGGGAGCCGGCCTGGCCCCGGCCGTCGGAAAATGTGAGGCGTGAGGCGTGCTGCTGTCTGCGGGATCGGACGCAGGAATGCGCTCAGCCGCGCCGCTGACCGCCCGCAGCCCCTGCCCCGCGCGCCCGGCAGCCTGAGGCCGGGCTGCAGCCCCCGCAGCACCCCGAGGCAGCTTTTTAAACCCCACTGCAGTAAACGAGCCCGGGAGGTGCTGGCCTCGACGCCTGCATCCCTCATCCCAAGTGCTGCACGTCCCGTAATGAAGCGCAGCTCCGGGCACGGCACCGCGGGGCTCTCCAGCCGGTGCCCCTCATCCCGCTGCAGTTCTGGGGCTCGGTCACTGCCCTCCCGGCCTCCCCCAGCCCCAGTTCCCAGTTCCTTCTACCCCCAGCCCCGCTCCCGTCCCGCTGTGGTCACCAGCAGCGTGTGGGGGCATGGTGCGAGGTGGAGTTTTCCTTGGGATGGAGGAAGGAAGCCCAAGCTCCATCCTGGCGCAGCTCTGGGCACTGCTTGGGTGGGAGATGCTTGGGGGGTGTTTGGGAGCAGAGCACTCACCCGACCCCCCCCTGCTGCTCGTCGCTGCCCTCACACGGACCGGGAGGCCGAGGGGGAGGCAAGGGGCTCATCCTGCCCTCCCTTATTGCCCCCCTGGCACACCTTGAGGCCGTGCCCCCTGCCCTGCCCTCACGCTGCCTCCGTGCCCCCCTCCCCAGGACATCCGCAACACGGTGGGCAACATCCCCATGGAGTGGTACGAGGACTTCCCGCACATCGGCTACGACCTGGAGGGCAGGAAGATCTACAAACCCATCCGCAACAAGGACGAGCTGGACAAGTTCCTGGAGAAGATGGAGAACCCCGACTACTGGTGAGCGGGCACGGGGAGGGGGTCCCCGCAGCGGGGCGAGTGCCAGGAGACCAGGACGTGGCCATGCAGAGCCCGGTCCCAACACAGCTCCTGGCTTGTGTGGCTTCAAGAACCGGGGGCTTTGAGGTGCTCAGGCTCGTAGCCCCCCCGGGGGCCGGGCGCTGTCACCCCGATGCATTCCCCGCAGGCGCACGGTGCAGGACAAGATGACGGGCGCAGACATCAAGCTGACGGACGAGCAGGTGGAGCTGGTGCAGCGGCTGCAGAAGGGGCAGTTTGGGGACGTCCACTTCGACCCCTACGAGGTGAGGTGGTGGCGCGCGCTCCGTGCTCGTGGTGCCCGGCGCGGGGCCCGTCCCGCACGCTGCAGCCACGCGTCGCCGTGTGTCCCCAGCCGGCCGTCGACTTCTTCAGCCACGAGGTGATGATCCACCCGGTGACCAACCGCCCGGCGGACAAGAGGAGCTTCATCCCCTCCCTCATCGAGAAGGAGAAGGTGAGAGGTCTGGCAGCACCGTGGCCGAGCTCTGCGTGCCCCGAGCAGCGCTGGGGGCGGTGGCTGCGGCCACTCTCCTGTCCCAGACGTGTCCTAGTCCCACCTATATCCACCCACACCGTGTCCTCTCACACCATATCCACCCCTGCCAAGTGCTCGGGGGCACTGGTTCCCATCCCACACCCCCTTCCTGAAGCATGCGGGGTCCCGGGGCTCCTGGAGCTGACCCCGTGCCTGCCCCACAGGTCTCCAAACTGGTCCACGCCATCAAAATGGGCTGGATCAAGCCCCGCAAGCCCAAGGAGGACACACCAACGTACTACGACCTCTGGGCGCACGAGGATCCCAACTCCATCCTGGGCCGGCACAAGATGCACGTGCCAGCCCCCAAGATGAAGCTGCCGGGGCACGAGGAGTCCTACAACCCCCCGCCCGAGTACCTGCTCAGCGAGGAGGAGGTAAAGGGGGGGCTGGGAGCTGTGGAGGAAGGGGCTGGGGGCACGTGGGGAGCTGTGGATGCGTTGGGACCCCGCAGGGCTGTGCTGAGGGAGGGCAGCCAGGAGTGCTGGGGCACCAGGATGAAAATTGGGCATGGTCAGGCCAGAGGGGGACGCTGGGGGTCCCGGTGCGGGGTGCGTCCTGGCACACGCTCAGCCCAGAAGCTGGTGCTCGGGGAAAACCAGGCAGCAAAACCCAACTGGGAACATGGGGGGGGCTCTGCTGGAGATGGAAAGAGAGGTGCTGGGGTGGTGGGGAGCCTCGTGGTGTCTCGTGGGGCAGTGGGGCACCAGCCAGGGGACGCTTGGTGCTCGGCTGGGGACGGGATAGCGCCGGGGCTGGGGCAGCATCGGGGGCCGTGGAGCGCCCGTCACCGCGCTGCTGACCCGGCCTCGCCTCCACCCCGCAGAAACTGGCCTGGGAGCAGCAGGAGCCGGCCGAGAGGAAGCTGAACTTCGTGCCGCAGCAGTACCGCTGCCTGCGGGCAGTGCCTGCCTACCCACGCTTCATCCAGGAGCGCTTCGAGCGCTGCCTCGACCTCTACCTCTGCCCGCGCCAGAGGAAAATGAGGGTGAGAGCCTCTCAGACCCCCAGCATCCCCCCACAAGGTGTCCCAGAGTGGCCTCGGCAGTGCTCCTGTGCCTGTCCCAGTTGCCACCCAGCCAGGTAGCAGGAGCTGCAGTGCTGTGGGGCTGCCCCTAAAGCCCCTCACCTACCCACAGCAGGCCCTGCAGGAGCAGAGCTGGGACAGAGCCAGGCTTGTAGGGTGCTGGGCTGATCCCCTGCTGGCCCCAAGCCCTCAGCCTGTGCTTCCCAGCCTGATCCTGCCCCTCAGCAGCCCCCGTGTGCTGTCCCTGGTGCCGTGGGGCCGTGTCTCACGGGGTGCCTCTCCCTCAGGTCAACGTGGACCCAGAGGACCTGATCCCCAAGCTGCCGAAGCCACGGGACCTGCAGCCCTTCCCCACCACCCAGGCGCTGGTAAATCAGTCTGCAGCTGGGGAGGGGTCTCCTGGGTGCCCGGGAGGTCCCTCAGAGGTGCCGTGTGGCTGCGTGGGACCCTCACCCACCTCCTGTCTCCCTCCCCAGGTCTACCGTGGGCACACCAGCTTGGTGCGCTGCCTCAGCATCTCTCCCAGCGGGCAGTGGCTGGCATCAGGTGAGGATTCCCTGCCCGGGCTGGGGCATCCCACACACACCAGGCACCAGTACCCAGCCCCGGTGCAGGAGCAGGTCCCAGCTTTGCCCCATAACAGTGCAGGGCTCGGGGCACGTGTAGGCTGGGGCTTCCCAGAGCTGCCAGCCACGGGGAGCCAGCCCACTCCTCTCTGCCGGTGCTGGATTGGGGTGGGGAGCCTGGGCACGAGGCCGGAGCATCCCTGAGCTGCCCGGGCCAGCAGCGCGCGTCCCGAAGGCTCCGTGGGTTTTTCCAGCCGCTCTCGGGGACCCCACCCTGGAGCCCGCGTCCCTCCCGCTCCGCAGTGGAGAAAGTGAGGCTGGAGGGAGAGGAGTGAACGGCGGAGCCCTGCGCGGCCGGCCGGAGGCTGGAGATTGAGAGCAGATGGCAGTTTAACAGCCCACAAAGGCACATGTGCTTTTTATAGCGCTGGAGTTTCCAGGCTGCCAGCTCCCGGTGGCCGCGGTGTCGGTCGGTTGCACAACGTGGAATTCCTGGCCCCGGGCTGGGAAAGTGGCTGAGATCAGGCGTTAAAAATAACCCGACCTGCGGGGACACGGCACGGCACGGCACGGCACGCCGCTACCTGCTCCTGCCCCGGCTGCCCACAGAACAGCCTGCCCGGGGGGCTGTGCCGAGCCGTGCCGAGCCGTGCCGAGCCGTGCCGAGCCCAGCCAGGCGTGCTGCCAGCACAGCAGCTGCGCCGGGAGCTGCGCGCGTCAGGAGGGGACCACGGGCAGAGCCGCGGTGCTGGGGGAGCGGGGAGGGGGCCTGTTCCCTCCGCAGCAGCCCCCAGTCACGTCTTGCCTTCGTGGTGCTGGAGCTGCCGGGGAATCGCGGGGGCACTGCAGCCTCCCGCCTGCCGCTGCCAGCGCTCCTCCCCGAAAGAGCACGACGGCTTGGGGATGTGTCCCGGCCCCCCGAGCCAAGCCGTGGCACCGTGGGGGTCCCCTGGGGGGTCCCACATGTGCCTGACCCAGCCCCCCCCCCTCCCCGTGGTGTCCCGCAGGCTCCGATGACTGCACGGTGCGGTTCTGGGAGGTGTGCACGGCTCGCTGCATGAAGACCCTCCCCGTGGGCGGCGTGGTGAAGAGCATCGCCTGGAACCCCAACCCCACCGTCTGCCTGGTGGCCGTCTGCGTGTGAGTGCCCCAGCTGGAGCCGGGGGGGGGGTTGGGGTCCTGTCCCGGAGCTCCTTGCTGCCCTGCAGCAGGGTCTGGGGGCTTACAGCCTCCTCCACCACCCTCCCCACGGCCCTGGACCTGTGCCGGGGCCGTGCCGTGACCGTGCAGGGCTTGCAGAGGGTTTTCCTCCCCTCGGCAGTGCCCTGACCCCTCCTGCCCTCTTCCCACCCCACAGGGAGCAGTCGGTGCTGCTGGTGAACCCCTGCCTCGGGGACAAGCTGCTCTACGGGGCCACCGACCAGGTGCTGGAGTCCTACACGCCCCCCGAGGAGGAGCGGGTGCAGCCCGTGCAGTGGCGCACGGCCACCGTCGAGGAGCACAGCAAAGGCATCCGGCTGGCCGTGCAGCACAGCAAGGCAGGGCCAGGGGGGTTTGGGGGGGTGCGCAGGGGCCGTGGGGAGGTGGGCAGGGGCCTTGGGGGGGTGGGCAGCAGCCCCCATGAGCCTGATCTCCCACCCTGCTCCCCGCAGGCCCTCAAGCAGGTGACGTGGCACGGCAAGGGCGACTACTTCGCCACGGTGGTGTCCGACAACAGCAGCATGCAGGTGCTGATCCACCAGACCAGCAAACGCTGGAGCCAAAACCCCTTCCGCAAGAGCAAGGGGCTGGTGCAGTGCGTGCTCTTCCACCCCATCCGGCCCTACTTCTTCGTGGCCACGCAGCGCTACGTCCGCGTCTACAACCTGCTCAAGCAGGAGCTCACCAAGAAGCTGATGGCCAACTGCAAGTGGGTGTCCAGCATGGCCATCCACCCCGGAGGTACGGGGGAGTGGGGTGGGATGGAGCACCCCCAGGCTGATCGGGGTGCGGGGCAGGGCTCTGGGTGCTGGTGGGGCTCGCTGGTGACCCCCACAATGTCCCCCCTCTCTCTCACAGGTGACAACATCATCTGCGGCAGCTACGACAGCAAGCTGGCCTGGTTCGACCTGGACCTCTCCACCAGGCCCTACCAGCTGCTGCGGTGAGCCCCAGCCCCACGGGGGGCTGCGCACATGTGGGGGTCCCCCGGTAACCCGCCTGCACCCCTGGGTGCTGGGCTCGGGGCTGCCCCAGACCCCCCTCATTCCTTCCGTGTGTCTGGGGGAGCAGCTCGGGGGGGAGGGTCTGCGAAGCTTGGCCATGCACAGGGCTGCAGCCCGCACCCCCCCCCTCGCCCTGACGGCACCCCCTCTCTGCAGGCACCACAAGAAAGCTCTGAGGAGCGTGGCCTTCCACAAGCACTACCCGCTCTTCGCCTCGGGCTCGGACGACGGGACGGTCATCGTGTGCCACGGCATGGTCTACAAGTGCGTGGGGGGGTCCCGGGGCTTTGGGGTCTGCTTTGGGGTCCCCTGTCCTCCCACAGCCCCGGGGCAGCACAGGGCTGCAGGGCAGGGGGTGCTGGGCTGCCCCACGCCTCGGGTTTGGGGATGGGGAGGGGGCGTGCAGCATTTGTGGGGTGACTCCGGGGGGTACCCCAGGGATGGGGTGGCGGGGGGGAGGCAGAGCCCCGCGCTGACCCCTCTCCCCCCACAGCGACCTGCTGCAGAACCCGCTGCTGGTGCCCGTCAAGGTGCTGAAGGGCCACGCGCTGACCTTGGACCTGGGCGTCCTCGATGTGCTCTTCCACCCCACCCAGCCTTGGGTCTTCTCCTCGGGCGCCGACGGCACCGTCCGGCTTTACACGTAGCTGCTGGGTGCTGCCAGCGTGCCCCCCACCCTGTGCCCCCCCACCCCGTGGCTGTGGACACTGCGCTCTGCTGGGAACAGCAGCCCTGCTCCTGCACACAGACTCCTGGGGGGTGGGGGGAGCTTTATTATTAAACATTTTTGGGTACAGACCCGTGTCACATTGTCCTGCACTGCCTGGGCTGGCCATGGGGACAGGCGGCCACCCCAAAACCTGCTCGGTGCTGCTGCCCCCCCCACCCAGCACCTGGGCCACATCAGGGGCTGCGTGCACCAGCGGTGCCATCGTGCCCCCAACCCTTCACCCCACAGCGTAGCCCCAGACCCCCAGCGCAGGGACACGGCGAGCAGCCAGCCCCCATGGGGTCCCCCCCATCTCACCCCCATCCTGGGGGCTGCCCCCCCCCCAGCAGTCCCGGCGGAGGAGCCCCCACGTGCTGCCCTCTGCACCCTGCGGTCCCGCAGCCACCGTGAGCTCATCCCCAGCATGAGCTCAGCGCTGGGACCGTGCCAGGACGGCCACGCGCGGGGCCTGGGGAAACCGGACGGGAACCTCCACGGCCCACGCTGCTGGGGGGGGGGCTGCCTGCACAGGCCCCGGGACCCCCCCCCAGCAGGGACCCACAGCACCAGGGATTGTCCCAGAGAGGGGCCCTGGGCTGGAGCTGAGCCTGATGCAAGGATCCCAATTTGGGGATGTCACCGTGTCCCAGCCTGGGGGCTGCAGCCACCACGCACCCGTGTCTGGGGGGAGGACAGAGCCCCACAGCCCCTGCAGGGGGAACCCCCCCCCCACCCCCCCAATTTCTCTCCTGCCACAGTCAGAGCCAGGCAAGGGAGGGCTGGGACTGGAGCAGGAACAGGTGGAAAAAGGTCAGATCCCTGTTCTGTCCCCAAAAAAGGCTGGCACAGCCTCTCCATGCACACAAAGCCCAAGGGGAAGAGGAGGGGAAGAGGGGACGGGGGGGGAAGGCCAGGAAAATGTGCAATTACACACACACAGCAAGCACCTGAGCCCCAAAGTGCAGAGTAAGGAAGGGCCCCCCCCAAACAAGCCCCCCCAAACAAGAGGACAGGGCTCGAGCACACCCCACAAGGCATTACCACGGGGCTCCTACCCCTCGGATCTCATTAACGTCCCCAGTTAATGAGCCAGGCAGCAGTTGGGGGGGGGGGGGGTGCAGCCGGACCACCCTTCACCCCACAATGACTCCCAGAGCACCGGGCCTTGAGGAGCGAGGAGCTTTATTTAAAAATAAGTTTATGTACACGAGTGGTGAGAGGACAGTGACATTCATCGAATGGGGGCCCCGGGGGGGGGCAGGGCCCTGCCTACAGCATCGGGGGGCAGCAGGGAGGGACGGGGAGGGGGGGGGAAGGCAGCGGAGGGCTCGGGCTCCATCCCGGCTGCGCAGAAGGGGAGCTGCCCCCCAGGACCCCCTCCCCGGAGCCTCGTCACATCCCTGGTGTCCTTTGGGTGCTGGGGGGGCCACGGCTGAGCCAGGCCCTGAGGGGGAGCGGTGGAGGCACCTGGGCCAGGGGGGCTCCCGTGGGCTGCGGGGAGCGGAGGAAGACGATGGAGCTGCCGCGGAGGAAGGCAAGGGGGGCCCCGGGGGGGTGCCCGATGGGGGAAGACGGGGGGGCAGCGCCACCCCAAAATATTGCTGCGGTGGAGCCGGGGCTCACAGGATCCTGACGAGGCGGCCCAGGGTCTCTGCCACCTTCATGCGGACGGCGGGGACGGGGTCCTTCAGGAGCAGGTTGAGGGCTGCGAGGAGCAGAGCAGGGACATGAGGGGGGGCTGGGGGGGCACGGCCGCTCCCCCCGGCCCCAGGCTGGGACCGTGCCCGGGGTGAAGCCACAGCCTGGCTTTCCTCCAGGGCACAAAGGTGAAATCCCTTTGCCCCCCCCCCTGGTGCTCCCCACCAGCCCCTTCCCCAGCTCGCACATCCCCGGGGAGGCAGCGGCACCCTAAAACCTCTTGGGATGCCCCCCAGGAGCTGAGACCTGGCCCTGCCCCGGGGCGCGGGGTCAGGGCTCGACCCGGGGGGCCCCTCCTGCAGCCCCCCCGGGGAGGGGAAGGGCCCCAGCACGGGGGTCTGGGGCTGGAGCCAGGTGCCGAGCCTCCGCGGGTCCGCGCGGCTGTGCAGCCGCCGGCCGGGCCAAGCCTCCCCCTATCAGCACCATTTCCTAATGCCTGGAACAGCTCCCGGTAGTAAGAAAACAATCCAGGTAGTTTTTCCTAGCAGTAAAAGTACAATAATATTTTTCCAGTAGCTTGTTTACCCGGCGCAGGAGAAGCCCTCGCCTCCCTCCAAATCCCCCCCCAGCTCCCGCGGCTCCCCTGATTTATGTGCCAGCTCCCTTCCTGCTCGCGGCATCCTCCTGCCTCGGCCGCGGGGGTGCCCCGGGGCGGGGGCTGTAAATCTGAGAGCCCGAAGCCCCCCCCCGGACCCCCGCTCGCTTAATCCACTCAATACGGGAAGCTCGCGCAGCCCAAGCCAGGCCTGCTCACTCCAGCTATTACTCACACACACGCAGATTATCTTTCACTTGTTTCAAACAGACAGGCCTCTTTCTTCTGGAAGGGCTCGGGGAGCCAACGGAAAGATAGTTTTTCCTTTTTTAGTGTTTTTTAAGCTCCCTTGGAACGATCCAAAAGTTTCCATGCATTACTATATACTATGAGGTCACTAGTGACAGGGAAAAAATCCCTGAAATCCAGGAAAATTACTTAACTCTGCTCCAAAATGCCACCAGCTTCAATTTGACTTTTTATTAGCCCTTCGTAACGAGCCTCAGCTCTGCCTTTTAACAGTTAACACATTGCAAACAAACGCTGCAAGTCCCCTCCTGCTTACGCTAAGCCGCTGCAAACGCCACGCGAGCCGCAGGCGGTGCCCAGGGCGGGTGCCCCCGGCCAGCACCGGGGCCGTGCCGCGGGGTCGGGGCTCGGGGGCTGCAGCCTCGGCTCCCCGGGACCCCCTCACCCCGCTGCCCAGTCTGCAAACGGCTCCTGCTGCGGCATCCCCGTGCCAACAGCTTGGTTCGTGGCTGTGCCTTCACCTGCCAGCCCCGGTCCCCTGTGCCTGCAGGTGCTGGGCTCATCCTGCCCCCGTTACCCAAGAGTGGAGCAGGAGCCTGGGGCACGGCACAGCCCCAGCCTGGGGAGCCCAAAATCATGGGGCTGGGCTCCGGCTCCAACCCCCAGCCCCTGCTCCCCGGCAGCACGAGCTGTGGGCACCGACTCACCCGAGATGAGCTGGTCCAGGTCCACTTGCTGGCAGTGGTCTTCGTCCACGTGCAGCACGAGGAAGCCTGGGGAAGGAGCTCAGCGTCAGGGTTTTTTTTCCACTGGGACCCCCCAAATCTGACAGAGAAGGTCACGGAGGCTCGCAGGGTGCCGGGTCTCTCCTCCCTGCTGTCCACGTGTTGTGTGCAGTCACGCAGAGCCAGCAACAAGGGCTCAGAGGGGACCCAAATATGTGATGTATACACGCTGCCCTGGCTAACGTGTGCCCTAAGGAGGCTCCCACCAGCACCTCCGCCTCCTGCAGCTCTCTTAAATCATTTTTGGGCACTCCACTGAAAGCAGCACAACCTTACGCCACGTGCAGAATTACATGGGTAAGAGCAAGGCTGGCTGCTACCCCCATCCCCAAAAAGGAGTTGGGAGCTCCAGAGAGAAATATGAAGCCTCGGGAGCAGCCCAGGTGACCCTTGGTGCCAGGATGCATCCGCAGCTCCCAGTTTACCTGGTGCAGCCACAGCAGGGGTTGGGCATGGAAGAGCAGCGCTGCTGGATGACTCCTGCTCGAATCCCCTGCCCCGTTACACGGCTCAGCCACAACCTCAGAGCTGCTCCGAGCTGACAGCACGGGGCTGAGGCAGCGCTTCTGGCTGATAAAGCAGTGACAGGCGCTGCTCCCCGCACCGTAACCGCATCCGTGTGCTGCAAGCTGAGTCTGGAAACCTTTACAGCGATGGGACGAGCTGGGCTGGGTCCAGCAAAGGTCTGTGCAGCCCTCAGGAAGGCTGCTGGAACTGCTGCAGGATGGGGTCTGTGCAGGAGCTGCCTCTGGTGGGTGCCCCCCCGCCCCACGGTGTGCCCTGGCCATGGGCTGTCACAGCAGATGCTGCACCCCCTGCGGAGCGGGCACCGAACGCCTCCCCGGGACACCCCCAACGACCACGTCCAGCCTTTAGGAAGAGACCCACGCTGCACCCACGAGGCTTGGGAGCAGGACTTACCAATGAACATCGGCGCAGCCGCTCTGATGTCCACCCAGTTGCTCTTGAAGTAGAAGAGGTTGGTTGAAATCAGGCGATTCAGCATCTCCGGGTAGCTCTGCATCTGGGGGAGAGGCGGCAGGAGAGGAGTCAGGCAGGGCACTGCCACCATCTCCTGGGAGCCCAGAGGTGCTGGGCAGGCTGAGCATCCCCCAGGACACTGGGCTGGGAGGGGGAACGTCCCCGTAAGGACACAGGGGCACTGGGCAGGACCCCGAGGATCCCATTTGGCAGCCCCAGCGCCGGCACCGCGTGCTCCGGCTGCGCTCACCAGGTGCTTGCAGACGTTGTTCATGAACTCCCCGTAGTGCAGGCTCCTGTCCTCCCGCAGGTGGTTCAGGAACATGTCGCAGAGCCCCTCGCAGCCCATGTTGGGGCCACACATGCGCAGAGCAAACTTGCAGGCCTGTGGCACAGAGAGGGGGAGGCTGCGGCGTGCGCCAGGGGGCTCAGCGCCTCGTGGCCACCCCAGGCCGGTACCCCACGCTGGGGGGGCTCCCTGGTGCCCGTGGTGGGCAGCGGGGAGCTCACCTTGACCACCTCAGGCTTGGGGTCCTGGAGGTGCAGCAGCAGCGTTACCAGCCCGTTCAGGATCTGCTCGAAGAAAGCCTCGCAGTCTTCCTCGCTGAACTTGGTCAGGTTGCCGAAGAGCACGATGGACGACTGGCGGAGGTCGGGCTGCTCCTGCAGGCGGGGGGCGAGCAGGATTTGGGGTGAATTCAGCCCTTCCCTTGCAGCACAACGCCCTGCCTCTACATCCCCAATTCCAACCACTGCCTGCAGCGGAGTCCCAAAGAAAGGAGACCTGAGGGGCACTGAGGGCTCAGGGATGGGGGTCTCCGTGCCAGGTCCAGCTCTGCCTGCCTTGGGGGGCACACAGCTGGGACAGGGGCTGGGTAACGCCTGGCTGTGGTTTTGCTCGGGCTGGGGAGAGCCACGGGACCCCCCACAGACAGCACGGTGCTGCAGGGGCTGGGGTGCTCCCCACGGGTGGCACCGGAGCAGCTGGGGGCAGGATCCAGCGCTCGGATCGCTCCGTGCAGTGGTGGAACTGGAGGTGATGCTGGAGGGGTTTGGGGAATGCACAGAGACCACTGAGGGCAGCGAAATATTGCGGGGCAGAGCCCTGCAGAGACCTGGCCCCCTCCTGTCCCCCAGCGCCCACGGAGCACAGCCTGGACCCTGCTGCCCACCCCAGAGACACCCATCTGCCACGCGTGCCCTGGCTCATCGGACGAGCTGCTTTAGACAGGACCAAGGCACAAGCTCTGTCCCCAGGCTCCCTTACGCTGTCGAAGAAGGGTCGGATCCTGATGGCGATGTGGAGGAGCATGGACTGGATGTCTCTCTCCTCCAAGTGATCCAGGAGCTTGGAGAGACTGGACATGGCCTCGAGCGCAACCAGGTTGTGGGGGTCGTCTTTGTCATCCATGCCATTGACCATGGACGCCAGCAGCTTGGCCCCGTGCTTCCGTACCTGCAAGGGCAGCAGGAGAGGAGCGCTGCTGTGGGGCAGCCTGGCAGGGACACGGCCCTGCTCGGCCACCCCCAGGGGTCAGGACGGGCTCTGTTGTGCCCACGTTGTGGCACGGCACCAGCACCAGGAGGGGGACCCGGCCCGCTAACCCAGGGTGATTCCTTAAAGCAGGACGAGCCAAGTGCATGCATTCCCAAAGTCAGTGACCTGATCACCGAGCAGTGCCCTGCAGCGAGCTCCTGCCTCAACCTCGCTTCCAGTGAGGAGGAGCTGGAATTAAATTAAATTACAGCTGCCGAGCGCAGTGCGTCGTCGGCACAGGCACGCGGCAACTGCTCACCGCAGGCACCGCGTCCCCTCCCGGCGCAGCATTTCGCTGAGCAATTAGAGCCACTGCACACGCAGCAAAGGGGGAAATTAAGTTTGCCTAAGCCACACCGAGTCTGCCATCGCTTAATTCTGAGCGCTCGGCTTTGTAAATCAGGCTGTGCTGCCCGGTGCAGCTCACGGAGCACGGCTGGGGACGAACAACGCGTCGCGACCCTGCGCCACGGGGACGTGTGGGAAGGGACCGCCCTGAGCCTGCCCAGCTGCACCAGTCTGCGTTGTTCCAGGATGCAGCAGGGAAGGCAGCAACAGATCATCACTGCTCCTGCCTGCGTTGTACGAGGCTCACCGCAGCCCTCCTCATCCTCCTGCTGGCCTCCTGCTTCCCAACCGCTGCCCACAGCAGCGCTGCGGCTCCCGCAGACCGGAGCACCGGGCGCTATCAGCAGCTCTGCCCAGGCTGCAGCAGCAGGACGGTATTTTTAGCAGCTGCTTATATTTTCGTGGCAGCTCACAGTGGGGTATTTGCCTGCCCGTGACCCCTTTCCAGGGTTTGGCACAGCACGGAGCAGACGCCCACCAAGCCCCACGCTGCTGCTCCTGGGGACCAGGTAGGCAGAGCGCAGGCAGCCCGGTGCAGGATGCACTGCAGCAATCCCCTGCAGCAATCCCACACCTGGTGGGCAGGAACGGGGCCGAGCAGCCACGTCCCAGCCACGGTTGAGCCTGGAACCTCAGTGGGATGGAGCCTGTGACTGCAGGTCCCCAGCAAAAAGCAGTGGACACGAAGCATCCCGTCCCTGCACCCCAGCGGACGCGCCTCCGGCATGAGCTGCCCCGACCACAGCACTTTGGAGATCTGGAAAACTAATTCTGGCCTGCCTGAATCCCACCGTCGGGACAGGAGATAACTGCAGTTAAGGATCCATTCATCAGCTGGTAAAGACACCGGAGCAGCAGGAAGCAGAAAGGGCAGCGGGCCGACACGGCTCCCGCAGGCGCGCTGCTGCTGCTGCTGCTGGGGGCGGCCCCACAGCACGACCCCTGCTCGGGCCAGCAGCCCCCCAACGGCTGCCACACTCTCCTCCAAACCAGGTTTTTTTTTTTTTACAGACACATCCCAGAGCAGCTGGGGGTCTGCACCAGTCCCACCGTGCCTGCCTACAACAGCGACAGGACAGGGAGGTGCACAGCGCGGTCGCCTCCTTGGTTTTGGAGGTGCCACCAGCAGGGCAAGGACAGGGCTGAAAAATCCAAAGTCACCTCCTGATGGTATCAGAGGGGGCTGCGCACCCCCTTCTCCCCCCGCATCGCACCCCAGCCCCAAAAGGGCTCAGGCAGCGTGCCACGGGGTTTGCTCTCACCTTTTCTGGTGACCCCGAGGAGATGTTGCCCAGCCCCCGGAGAGCCAGCATGCGCACCAGCAGGCAGGGGTCCTTCTGCCTCCCCGTCATGTTGTCCATCACGGTCTCCAGCAGCATCAGGTCATTCACCACGTTGCTATTAAGGAGCTGAAGCAGGAGAGAGCATCAGCAGTGACAGGACAGTAACCCCTCAGACCACGAGGGAGCTGATGTCCCTGTTTCAGGTGCTCTTATCCCATTACACCGGGAAAGAGCCCAGGGCAGCCTTGGTTTGTCCCCAGTTCTCTCAGACCCCAAACTCCACGCTCAGGTTATCCAGACGTGATGAGGGACAGCCCTCATACCCCCACAGGGTGCTCAGATCTGGGGATCCTGCCGTGATTTGTAACACGTGAGCCAAGGACCCCCAGGGATGGATGACGCAGCACAGCCAGGAGGGACCCAAATGCGCCCCCCCGGAGCAGGACCGAGGTGCGAGACCACCTCTGGGGTGAGCTGAGGGCAGCGTGAGGAAGAGCTCGGGCTCCCTGCAGGGCTGAAGCACGTCCCGCCAGGCTGTGTGGTGGCCGAGCAGCACGGCACTGGGAGCATCCTCAGCGCCAGAGCTCCTGGAGAGCCGTGCTGAGCCCTGGGGGCACTCAGAGGCACTGAGCTGGGGGAGGTGATTTGGGACCCCCGGCTGGATGGAGCCGATGGGGCTCCTCTCCTCCTGACCCCATCACTGGGGATGAGGGGAGAGCCACGCGTGGACGTGGACAGGATCCAGGGAACAGCACGGGGCTCGTCCCCAGCGAGCTGGGGAGGCCGTTAACTGGGGAGGCCATTAATTGGGGAGGCCGTTAATTGCCTGCAGCGGCAGGGTCGGCGCCAGCCCCGCGCAGGAGGGGCACGCTGGGGTTAACGACCTGCGAGGGCCACACTGGGGCTCCCCGGGGCTGCTCCAGGCTCCTGGATGCTGGGACCCCCGGGGACCCCCCGGCACCGGGCACAGCACCCACAGCCCGACGTGGGGGAGCTGCTGGCTGCAAGCGAGGGGCTGCCAGCACCCCAGAGCTGCCCTCGGGGCTGGCACGGAGCCCCTTATCCAGCCCCTTAACCCCGGGGCATCCCAGGGCAGCGCTCAGCGCCTCTGCCCAGCGCCTGCGGAGCTGGTGAGGAGGCTGAAGGCACAGAGGCTGAAGGCACGGAGGCTGCAGCACCCAGACCCTGCCTGGTGCCGCAGGTCCCCGCTGCCACAGCCCCGTGGCCGTTCCCCTCCTGGCTTCCACTCTGTCATCTCCGTCACTGGCACGGCTGCGAGAAAAGGGACTGAGCTCTCACCTCATCAGTTTTGAGAGAGGGAGACACAGGCATTTGCTTCCTTCCCCTCCAGCTCCATGGTGAGGCAAAACTGCTATTTTAAACCCTTTAAGGATGCAGAGAGCCAACCACACTCCAAAACTAAAGCAGATTCTGGGACGGGATCCAAGAGCAGGGCCGTCAGCTCCCCCAGCCAAACAGAAAATAAAAACAGTGCCTTAATCCCAGGCTGCTTAAGCAGCTGAGAATTTAAAAGGTGGTTTATAAGCGGGGATATAGCCCTGCATTGTTGGCATGAGGTGCTCCTTTATGTAACAAACACTCCTCGAGTGGCCCAGGGCTGTAAGGTGGTATGTGCGCGCAGCTAGGGTTACCGTCTGCTTGGCCGCGCTGCCCCGCGCCGGAGGAAAGGACTTGAGTCACCTCATTCCTTAAGGTGCTACGTAAGGAGGGAGTTATGGCTTGCTGGCTCACTGCGGGGATGCGTTCAGAGTTGGCCTCCTGCGCGCGCTTCTCTGCCATCCCCTCTGCCAGAGAGGGTCGGGAAGCCGGGGAGGACAGCTCGCGGCTGCGCCGTGCCGCGTGCGCCGTGCCGCGTGCGGAGGCACGGACAGACAGACGGACAGGCAGACAGACAGACAGACGGGAGCAGCCACCTCCCCTGCTCACCTCGGCGAAGAAGGCCGTGGTGGTGATCCTCTGGCTGTCGAACACGCTGCTCAGCGTCGGGACGAGGTTCTTGACGATCAGGGGCAGCCTGGGCCCGGCGTGGCGTGCCATGGCGCTGCGGGCAGAAGGGGCCGCGTCACCCACACCAGGGACGGGCTCAACCCACACAAACAGGGCAAAATTCGGCAGTGAGAGGAAGGGAACCCAGCACTGGGAACAAACCAGCCCCCAGATATACAGCACTGGGGTCACTGGTGGCCAGGAACCACGGGACTCCTGTGCCCACAGCCCCAGGGACCCATGAGCAGAGCGCGGTGAGGAGCTGGCACCGAGCCCCGCACCATGGGGGTGTCAGCGGGTGGGTGCCCACCGTGTGCCTCTGCCAACAGCTCCTGCGGGGCCAGCAGGACGGGCAGACAAAGCACAGGGCACCTCCAAGCCCTGTGGGCAGCTCCCCTCACCCCAGCAGTGCCACACAGGCACTTGGGGGGTCTGGCAGCCCCCTCCCACTGTCTATATCCCCGTGCCCTGCAGCAGCCGCAGCCTGCACGAACCCCTAACAGCTCCACATCCTCCCAGCACACATCCATCCTCGTGTCCATGCCCAGGGGCTGCTGGCAGGGTGACCCACGCTGCCCCGACTGAAACCCGGCCCTGCACCCAGCCCCAGCTCCGTCCCATCCCCATGGGGCTGCTGACGAGGTGACAAACATGGAACTCATCCTGCACCGTGCAGCAAAGCATCTCCTGCCCGTGGCTCAGCTCATGCTTTGCTTGGATGGGCACAGCACAGCCCCTCACCACCACCTCCCTCCTGCCACCACCTGGGGACGAGCCACGGGGGGGACCCAGCTCTGAGCCCCCGCCGGGCACCGTGGCCACAGCGGCCGCTCCAGCAGAGCTTGGCCGGGAGGGCCGGGTTTTGTTTGGGATGAGACACACAAGCGTTCGGGAGGCTCAATAAAGCATTTTTGTGAACGCTGGAAAATCCCAAACCGGTCGTCTCCTCCTCAGCCGTCCAAGAGCTATTAACCACGCTGGGTGGAGGGACAGCGGAGTCCCGAGCTGAACCAGGGACCGGGGCCGGGGCCGTCCCTGCGGGTGCTGCAGCGCCAGCACGGCCCCAGCGCCCTCGGCACGCGCAGCAGCACCAAAAAAAAGAAAATCCATCCAAAACCGGTCAGTATCCCTCACACCTTCGTTTGCAGCCTCCACAAGCTCAGCCAAGCAGCCGAGACCCGCAGAGGTTTTGCTGATGAGCCCCAGCCTCCTGGCGAGCCGTGGCGATGGGCACCAGGCGCGGGGGGTGCTCGGCCCCCCGGGAGCTGAGCCATCGGCTGCATCCAGCCCGACCGCGCTCCCGGCACCGCCGCTCAGCCCTTGGCGCCCGTCCACGCTCCCGCCCCCCCGGTGGTGAGTGCCGGGGTTAATCACAGCACTAACGAGCGCTTTCCCCCCGCTCTGACCTCCAGGCGTGGGGCGAGACAGAGCTGACAGTGAGTCACCCCCAGCGCACGGGGCCTGGGCCCGGCCACCCCACCACAGTCCCACCCTGACCCCCGGGGACCCCTGGGGACCCTCCGTGGGCTGCGAAGCGTCGCGGCTGCCCCGGGACGCAGCACACCCAGTCCCCGTGGCCACCGGTGCCGGAGCAGAAGCAGCGGGAGCAGCGCGTCTCACCCGGCCAGCACGGCGATGCCGTCGTGGTGCCTCTCCGGACTCGCCATCAGGTCCCAGCCGCCGGCGCTGCCCACGGCCTTGGTGACCGCCTCGCTGCCGCCCCGGGCCAGCATCACCTTCAGCGTCTCCACGGCGCAGCTGGGGAGAGAAGCACCGAGCTGTCACATCATGGCACGAGCCACCGTGGCCCAAGGGGCGAGCCCGGCACGCGGCAGCACCGGGACAGGGGCCGGTGCGGAGGCACCCGAGGACCGAGCGAGCTTCAGCTGGAGCGAGACAGAGCCATAACTCACGGCTACTTCCATTTGCACCGTGACATTTGCCATTAAAGTGATCCAAGACAATAGGCTGAAAAGTAAAGAAGTCCAGAACTGCTTTACGGAGGGTTTTTTTTTGCATTAATATTTTATAGGTGGGGATTATTTTGCTGCGAGCACAGAGCAACATATGGGAGCCATACATTATCCTGTCAAAACAAAACAAATATAAGTAATGGATAAATCTTAGCCTTCAATATGAGCAAGAGGAATGTATTTACCACACACATGAAGCAAACATGATTTAGGAAGGGTGTCTCAGCACAAAGGTCTCTCAGCTTACGACTCGGGCGCCTGCGAGTTTGGCTTCTGGAAGGAGAGGGCTGGGCTGCGGTGACGAGGGACGGGGACGTGTAGGGACAGGGCTCGGGGCACGGGCACCCCGGGGCTCTGCGGCAGGACACCACAGCCCCCCTTAACGCAGGACACGCAATCTCTGCTCTCCTGAGTCCAAATTTGAGAATGAGGATGGAAAATAAGCGCTCACCCACCGCATGCATGGAAAACCCCACCACAGCCAGACCTGGAGCGCCTGGTGGCTCCGTGCTGCACTTGTCAGCACCCCTCACTGCAGCCAGGTCTGGGGGTCCCCAGGGACAAGCGCCTCGAGGATGCATTCACCAAGCAGAGCATCACCAAGGGCCAAAGCTGAGCATCTGCCCAGGGCAATGCACCAGGAGCAGGGAAGGAGACAAGCACGGAGCACGGAGCAGGGTTGCTTTGCTCCTCAGCACGAGGACCTCTCCATCTGCAGCCACCCAGCACCCGCCGTGAGCCCCAGCAGAAGCTGCCCGGTCCCACGCTGCCCTCACGGCCCTGCACGGTGGCGTGGGTGATGCCCAAGCCTGATGTCTGCACCACAAAACCCATCCGGGAGAGCCCACAGACACCCACGGAGGAACATCCAGCTGGATCCAGCAGTGATGGAAATGGAAAAGCAGCACCAGCACCGCGTACCGAGCCAGCTCGCTCAGCTCTGAGCAAAGCCTGGGCTGGAGGAGAGTCCCTCCACGAGCTCCGAGCATCCCTGCACCACGAAGGCTCCAAGACAACAAGAAATTAGCTGCTAATTAAATAAAACCTGAGGCTGGAGTATCCACCACCCAGCGACCACCACCATCCAGAGACCACCACCAGCCACGATCGGAGCAGCCGCAGCGACAACCTGGTGTTGGTGCCCAGCAGGTCCGTGCCCCTACCTCTGCCCGGCCCCGTGCTCCTGCACTGCAGGAAACCTGCACAAGCCTCAGCGCTTCGTGTGCACGCAGGTGAAGCTGTGGCTTTGCCCAGGAAAGCCTCGGTGGGATTTTTCCAGAGGACAGAGCCCAGCGAGGTCCAGGGACCTTCCCACCAGCTCCGTGGCTACGGATGAGGTCCGAGAGGCGAGGGCACGGCCCCAGCCCGCTGCTGGCTCTCGGGGGCCACCACCCAGCCAGGCCCCCGCTCCCCTCGAGCCTCCCCACGAGCTCCTGGCTCGGTGTCACCGGGGCTGGGAGCCCGTGGCCAGCGAGCCACCGCGGCGCGGGGCGGCTCCTGCGGCACAGCCCGGCCCCAGCGCTCGCTCGCAGGCTTTGCTTTTTCCACCGTGTCCTATAGACACTTCCTTCCTTTCCAACAAAAGCCTGTGTCTTCCAAACCCCTTTTCCTGCCAAGCTATCATATTCACCTTTACCATCTCTCTTTGGCATTTAAGTATCATGGAGACTCAGAACTCAAAACGCGGACAGGAAATTGCTTTGATATTGTAACCAGCTCCTGGGACGAGGCTGGAATTTCACATCTCGGCGCTTGCTCCGCGCGTTGGACAAAGCCTCTTCCCCCTCCATCCATCAGCGATGACTTCATGGCCCCAGCTACCTGCCTGCACCCACGCAGCCGCCGCGCGGCCCCGAGAGCAGCCTGCCCCCGGCCCCCGGCCCCAGCACCTCCTGAACCCAGAGCCCCGAGGGAGCAGGGGGCAGCCAGGGCAGCACCCGGGACTTGAGAAGCAGCACCGAGAAACCCAGCACGGGCACAGCCTGGGGAGCTGCAACGAGGGCAGTTTTCCTTCCTGAGCACAGACACCGCGTCCAGCAGCGGGGTGGCCGGGTGCCGATGGAGCAGGGCGAGCGGCACCAGGACGCCCACGCTCAGAGGAGCCCTGGTGGTGACAGTGGCCAGGACCCCCCCAGCACCGGCCTCCCCGCTTCGCCCAGCAAGCCCTGGACCAAGCTGGCTGCCCTGCTGGGCACTGAGATGGGGGAGGAAGAGGAGGAGGAAGGCTGCCTCCCCGCGGGCTGCAGGGACACGATGGGGGCTCTCCCCTTCCTGCACCGCTGCTGCCTGCGACACGGGTACCCAGGAGCTGCTGCCTGCCCCCCGTTTCCTTGCCAGCACATCAGCTTTTCTCACCCCAAAGGCTCTCTCTCAGGATCAGCAGAGCGCACGTGGACAGGAACTGAAGCCACGGCCGGGGGGCACGCGGGCTCGGCCAGCCCAAACGCTGGAGGAGCGGCCACGGCAATAACTCAGCGCGTCCTGGTCTGCGTCCCGAGCGCTGCTCGTAGCCCAGACACTGCTGGAGGAAGAGCAGCGGTTCCTGGCTCCGACGCCTCCTTCCCTGGGAGGCAACCAGTTGCTTCAAGTTTCCTTAAGTCCTGCTCGCGGCTCTGGTGCGGGGTCTGGCTGGGATCTGCCCGTGCCTCTCTTCCAGGAGTCGTTAACGGGGAAGAGCGCGACGAGAACAGACAGTTCTGGACGCACAACCCAAAGCCACAGGGGAAGCAGGGGTGTCCGCTCCGGGCCCGGGGCTCTGCGTGAGGACCCCAAAGAAATGCCCCGAGGGGACAGGACGAGCGCCACGGGTGCGGGGAGCTGCCAGCACCACGGGCACAGGCACGGCGGCGGGGCAAGGCGCGCTCCAGCCCTCTCCTCCGACGCATCAGGTTCGTTTAATTCAGTCCTAACATGTGGTCTAAATAAAATGCTAATCAGATAGCAGCCCTGCCATCCAGCAGAACAACCTGTTTCCACTCATCACATCTCCGGGCTGGAAAAGTCCCCCTCGGAGCGAGCGGGAGCTTTGCGCGATGGTGCCCAGCAGACGGAGGGGATTGCTCAGCACAGCTCCTCGCCCTTGGGACTTGACGAACGAACTGGCGAGCCACGCCAGAGCCCTTTCAACTCCCCGCCACTGCGTTTGGTGTCCCCGTGCGCTCCTCCAGGCTTTGTTTTTTTCCCCCAGGGCTAATAATAGCCTGTAAGAAAACCAAGCCTGCAAAGCAGGGCACAGCCTCCTCCCGCAGGGGAGTCTCCAGACACCGAGCCGACCGAGGGCCTGGCCGTGCTGCAGCACCTCCTGCTGCTGCCTCGGACACGGGCTTGACCCTGGCATCCCCACGGATTTAAAGTGCTTTAAAGCAAGCGTGAGCAGTTCTCATCAGCCGGACCTTTTTGCAGCAGGATGAGGGCACCCAGAGCCACGATGGCAGGGCTGCCGTGGCACTCGAGCTGTCGGAGGGATGGGATGAGTGCCGTGCATCGTGCTCACATCCACGCCAGCTCCATGGGCTGCAGAGATGAGCGTGGCACAGCCCAGAGGTGCAGGAGAGCAGAGCAGCCCCGGCACTGCTCAGAGGGGCAGGAGCACCAGGATTGAGCCGGGCAGGATGCAGGCAGGGGCTGGTGAGCCGGCACCGAACCCTCTGCCCCAGCAGGATGGGGCTCCCGCTGCCCCCACACCCAGGGGGGCACCCTTTGGCTCTCTGCTACCCTGTGAGAGCTGCTTGCACAGCCCCTGATGAGGAAGAGCCAGCGCTGGGCATGGTCTGGGCTGGGGGAAACCAAACTGCCCAGGTTTTGCTCAAGCTGGGATCACGCAGAGACCAAGGAGAGAAGCCCAAGCCACCCAGCCCAGCAAGTGAGCCCTGCACAGGAAAGGGAGCTGCACTGCCACCGGGATCCCTGCCACCCTACAGACACATGCGTGCTCCTGGGCTGTAAAGGAGCTCGTTAAAGGCTGCTCCCACTAATTTTACAAAGCCTAAAACCCTGTGCTTACAGCAGCACGCAGCAGAGCTCCAGCTGGCCCTGGGCAAGGCTGGGGCAGGAGCCCCCGGAGCAGGGGGAACCAGCGGCACCCCAAAACACCCCGCTACCAGGACTCCTCCTCAGCCACTTGGGGCCACCGTGGGCTGAAAGCCCCAGCAGAGGACAAGACATCCCTTGGGCTCAGCACGGCTGTGTCTGCGCAGGGAAGGTGGCGTGGCCCTGGAGCGTTTGCTCGAGCAGCCGGTAATTTGGCATGACTAAGCCGTGCCGCAGCCATCGGCTTGACGAAGCCAGAGGCTTTGGTCCTGCCAGCTCCTCTCCTCACCCGAGATGAAATTACCCCCTCTGGCATGCCCAGCCCAGCCCCATGGAGCCAGCCCCCCCGGGGGGGCAGCAGCACAAAGCAGCACAGCAGGGCCCTGGCGCTGGGGCGCAGGAGCGCGTCGGGAACTGGAGCGGCTCGTTGAACGCTTCCCAATTTAGAGGCTCTGCTCCGCGGGAGGAAGCAAAACAAACAGAGCAGACCCAGACCGCAGCTCCGAGGTCAGGCCTCGGTGCCCGACACCACGGCCGGCGTGCTGCCTGCCCCCAGGAACGCCGCGAGGGCGCCCAGCTCCACGTGCCGGGTCGCGGAGCCGCCCTCGGCCCCGTACCTGCAGGGATGGAGGCTCCGGGGGGCCGGGCTGAGGCTGCTGCTCCTCCTCTCCCGGCTCTGCAGGCTCTTCGGTAGCTGAACACCCACGGTGCAGCTGACTCGCAGCAGGAGAGTCACAAACAGCGGCGCGTAGAGTCCCAGCACTGCTGCCCCAGACTCCGGAGCAGACATGATCTCATACAGAGCACATGTGGCCTGGAGAGAGAGCGCGGGAGAGGAGGATTAGGCAGGGATCTCCCACACCACGCCGTGATCTGTTGGTAAATAACCCGGGGAGGCAGCCAGGGGGCTGCTGCTGCTGCTCCCTCCTGCAGCCCCGAGCCCATTGAAGCGGTGACATCGAGCACCCGGGCGTCTCCAGGGGGGGAAGGCGAGGCTTGGAGCCCGTACCTGGGGACACGGAGCACATCCCAGGGCTCGGGTTTTACAGGCAGGAAGACAACACGCACCCTGCTTTTGCACAGCCCCATTCCGGCCAATTTAAAAAGCCGTAATTACACGGCACAATATCCAGGGGTGTTAAAACCAGAGCGGGGAGGGGAGGGGAGGAATGTTTGCTTTCAGCGCAGCCGATCCCGTACCATCTGCATTTGGTTCTTCAGAGGAGGAGGAAATTTTCACAGCTGCTTTACTGCTTAGAAAGCTGCCAAGCTGGGTTTATTTTTCTGAAGGGATAAAATGCAAAGTGGTCTCCCTTGAGGATGGACACCTGAGAGGCTTTTTACGAGCCTGTGGATTAGCTCTAATAGGCATTACACAGCGATGCGTTATTTCCAGAGTCCACGCCTGGCACAACCCCCCCGAGCCAAGGAAATGAAAAAAGCATTCCAGGTGTTGGGACCGGCATCCCCGAGGGGCTGGGGACGGGACAGGGGCTGCAGCAGGACACTCACGGCCAGGGGCAGCGGCGTGGCGATGCGCTCGGAGCCGCTCCCCAGCAGGAAGCACTTGCTCTCCTTGTACGGGACGTCCCTGTTCACCTTCTCCAGGAGCTGCTCCAGGATCTGCGAGGTGAGGGTGGGCTCGGCGGCCAGGGACCTCCACATGGCACACGTGTGGCTGCAGGGGAGCAGAGAGGGGAAAGCTGTTTTGGTGCCCTGCTCCGAGGGGCAGCGACCACCAGCCCCCTCCCCACGCCGGCACCACCTTCACCGCAGGGCAAAGAGAGCCCAGGGGGTGCGAGCCAAGGAGGCAAGCCCCGGTGAGAGACCCGTGATGGGTGGCTCACAGCAGCTCCAGGCACTTTGAGCCAGGGGAAGCACTGCTGGTGCCTCCTGCGCCGTGCTCAACCCAAACCCTCAGGGCTCTCTTACTACCAGCACCCAGAGGGGTCCCGCTTCGCCCCGCATGGTTTGCAAGCTGCCTGCCCTGGTAGGAGCAGAGCAGGGCTTAAAAACGAGGCATAGGAGAGGCTCTGCTCAAGGGGAGGTGTCCTGCTCCGTACAGCAGCAGCGAGCACCCAGCCACGCTCAGCTCTCCAGGGCCAGCTCCGCTCGTTCGCGCCGCTCGCGCCTCTAAGCCCAGCGAGCCCTGGGAAAAGCGGCTCCCGCAGCAAGTGGCCGTGCTGATCCTTGAGCGCACAAAGGAAATTCCAGCAGGGTCTGATTACTGGGGTAAGGAGCCAGGAGATTAGCTGCAGCTTAAGCCAAAGCTGCTCCCAAGCCCCGGCGCTGAGAGCACGTGCAGGCGCCGGGGCCACCGCGGCGGAGCCGGGCGGTACCTGTCGAACGGCAGCGCGCTGCCCAGGAGGCTGGACACCACCACGCTCTTGTGCTGGGAGGCCAGGATGTAAACCGTCTGCTGGGCAGCCTTCCTGATGTGCTCCTCGTCCACCTCCTGCAGCTTGCTGTGGATGATGCTCATGATGTCGGGCACCTGAGGGAGGAGGAGATGGTGGTGTCCAGCTGAGGGCCAGGAGGCGTGAGCACCCGGGGTGACCACGGGGCACCCCTGCAGGCAGGGGACGTGTCCCCCCCTTCCCCTCCATCGCAGCAGGGCTTCAGCAGACCATGAAGGGGCAGACAGACCACCAGGAGGGCAGCTCATTGAGGAGGCCTCACCGCTCACAGGGCGCATGCAGAACCTCTGTGAGGCCAGGACAAGGATCCCCTGGGGGTGTCCCCGTGCCACGCAGAGCCAGGTGACACCGCCGAGCACCCCAGGGCAAGGAAGACCCAACAAGGGTGCGCCCAGCCCCTGCGCTGCAGCCCCCTGGCCCGGTGCTGGTGCTAAACCCCAGCCCCACCGCGGCTGGTTAGAGGAGCTCAGCGAGCAAGTTCCTAGGAGGAACTCAAGCTGAACGCAGGGAGACACCTCGGCACTCGCTGCCGGCTGTAAAACGCACGTTAAGACAAATAGGAAGTTCATGCACAGACCAGGCCTGGCAGCAAATTCCAGAGATTAAGTGCAGAGCAGCAGAGCGCTCCGGCCCCAGCTGCGCGCGGGTCTGCCCCACGGACTCCGGGGCTTAGCATCAGTTCAGGTTTCAGGATCTGGGCTGGACTGGATCTGACCGAAAGGTGAGTCATGTAAGCTGGAGCAATCCCACGTCGGAGAGAGGCTAATAGGTAGTGAACGGGACTTTAGCAGAAGCTCTAGTGCAAAAGCGAGCCTGAGGAGCGGCTGGAGACCCGGTGTTTCCAATTACCGCAGGAGAAAGGGGGAGCTTAGCCCTAAAGGTAGTGGATTAGACAAAAAAGCCTTCTGTGTCCAGCACCTCTAAGCCCTGCAAGCATCCAGACTGGCTTCCCGGCCAGGAACCCCGGGCTCCCCCAGAGCTTGCAGAGGTTTCACAGGGAGCCTGAGCTCTTCTGGTAAAGTGAGCTCCTCTGAACTCCTCAACTCGAGCAGGAGCCAGAACGGAGCCGGCCTCGCCAGCAGCCACCGCCTCCGCACCGCACCGCAGCCTCCCCGGCCCGTGAGGACGCAGGGAGGAGAGCGCACACACAACGTGCCCGGGGGAAGCAGCGATGGTCAGGAGCAACAGCCCCCAGGAGCTCTGGACGTGCGCTCCTCTGGCCAGAAATGCAACGGCAACGATGGACAGCAAGTCCCTGGGGACGGGTGTTAAATGCCACCCCCTTGTGCTGGGCATCACGCTGCTGCCCCTGAGCGCAGCACCCCGCCTGCACCAGCACAGCCATCACCCCACAGCCTGGCTGCAATTGGGGCCACAGTTATAGGGCTGCGTACGTGGTAAGGACACCGGGCACCAAGACCCTCTGGGGCTGCGTTCGCCCCCGAGGCCGGGCACAGCTCACCTTCTCCTGCAGGACGCTCCCGCGCTCCTTGAGGAGGGAGTTGATCATGACGGTGGCTGCTCGGGAGCAGTTCTTGTCGGGGTCCGCCAGCCCCTCGAACATGGCCAGCAGGAGGCTCATCAGCTGCTCCGGGGGGACGCGCTTCCCGACCACCTGGAGGAGGGCGAGCGGAGTTAACGCTGGGTTTCTGTGGCTCTTGGAGCCGGTGGCAGCGTGGCTGCTCCGTGGCACGGAGCCCTGAGGGAGCACCAGACAGGGACAGGACAAGACCCCCGTGGAGGCAAGAGGCTGCCTGGGGTTCCCCTGGGATGGGCTGGGACAACCCAAGCACACCAGTAACCCCACTCCAGCCACCACCCTGAGGATGGTCCCCAGGTCTCATCCAGACCTGCGGGTGGGACAATCGGCAACAAGGTTGGTGGGAATAAGGACCCCCAGAGCCACAGCATCCGGGGGATGGCAGCTCTGCCAGGACAAGGGATTAGCAGCTCCTCTGCAGCTACGAGCCCTCCTGGAGCAGTGCCTGCAGAGATCCCCACAGAAGGGGCCACCAGAGCTCACCCTCACAGGAGCAGGGTGCGCACCCCTCCATCGCCACCAGACCCAGATGCTGTCCCCATTGTCCAAATCGCAGTGGTTTGAGCCACATTTGGACCAGTGACTGCTTTACCAACACCAGCACCACGCTGGGAAGGCACTGGGAACCACCACGTGCTGCAGCTGGACACAGCAGTGACGGGGCCTCGAGGGCTGTGCTGCAGCCAGCAGCTCCCAAAAGGAGCACGATGCGCTCCAGTCTCCATCCTGGAGCACACCCTGGGGCCCCGTGCAGGTCTTATGGGGCTGAGACAGAATCCTCCCCATCAGCGTGTAGAGGACAAGGACAGAAACCACCTGCACTACCTCAAGGTGAATTTTTGGTGCTAGTGCTGGGAACGCTGATGGTTAAAGCTGCACACCAGACCCCTGAATGGATGCACGGAGCCACAGCGCAGCGGGGCACCGCGCCCCCACAGCACCTGCACGGATGTCCTGGTTGGGACCCTCGTGCCCAGAGAAAACCAGCAGCTTCCCCACAGGGCGAGATGCTCTCAGCATCCCCCCTGGGCTGCCCTGGAGATGCGTGGAGCAGGGCAGGAGACGAGCGCAGTGGTTTGGTTCCTGGGGTGATGCTGGGGCTCCCCAGCAGCGCTCGCCCCACGTGGCTGCTCGGAACCGGCCAGCACCCCGCGGACACCGGGGCCGTGCTGGCTGTGCCCTGCCTTACCATGGCGATGTTGTGGCAGGTGTGGAAGAGGACGGTGAAGTCGGGCTCCTCCAGGCCTTTCTTCAGAGCCTTCAGCCCCTCCACCATCTCATCCGTGTGATCCCGGGCAAACCCTGCGTTCAGAGGCAGCCTTCAGTTCGCAGCCTTCCTCAGGTTTTACACCCAAAACGCTGCAGAGCGCTGGGTTTTGCTTGCAGCTGGCTCAGTTTCCAGGGAGGAGCTGAGGAACCGAGGCTGCTGCCAAGGCCCAGAGGTGCTGCCCTGCAGGGACACGCTGCTCGCAAGCACAGCACCGAGCCAAAGCCCCCCCGGCACCGCACGGGCTCTGCTTCCCCTCCGTGCCTGCACTCGCAGCATCGCAAGGGGAGGACTGACCTCTCCCGGCAGGAGGAGGAAACCCAGGCTGAATTTGGCTCAGGAACCTGCTCCAGCTGCGCTCCAGCATCTCCAAGGGCTTTCAACACCCAGACAAACGCGAGCCCTTCACCCATGCGCCCCCCACCCCGCTGCCGGCCCCCCTGCAGCGATCGGCACTCGCAGGTCCCCCCCATCAGCGGCTGGGGTCCGCGCCCCCTGCCCACGCGCCCACCTTCGTAGCACAGCTGGATGTAGAGCAGGCAGTAGACGCAGTCCACCGCGTGCTGGCGGACGCTGGCCAGGGAGTCGGAGCAGCGCGGGGAGAAGAGCGCGATCAGCACGCCGAGGTTGTAGAAGGGGACCACGGTCTGTGGGGAGACAACCGCGGCCGTGCTGGCGTTGGGGAGCGCGGGGCCACCGCCAGCGGGTGCAGGGAACCCAGCACCCACCCCAGGAGGGGCACGCGCCCCATCCCAGCGAGGTTGGAGGGCAGCGGGGAGGGGATGCTCGAGCACCACGGCCACTTACACTGACGTTCAGTTTGGCCAGGTAGAAGTCCAGCAGGGCAGCGCTGATCTCGACGGCGCGCTGCCGCTCCTGCTCCTTGTTAGACTTGATCCAGGGCCCTAAGTGCTGTGGGGAAACGGGTCAGAAAGGAGAGCAGGAGCTCTGCGCTGCACAGCCACCCTCGGCACGCAGTGCCCAGCACCGAGGGGACAGGGACTGGAGGACTGGTGTCACACAAGAAGTGAGGACTGCAGGCTGCACCTACCGCAAACATGTCCTGCAGCCCGTGCGGGGTCAGGTTCCTCTGCAGGAGGCTCTTCAGCAGGTCCTTGAGGGCACTGAGGGTGTCACCGTACAGTATCTAGGGAGGAAAGGCTGATTACAGGCTCTGAGCCCTACACCCGATCCCGGAGAGCCAGGCTGGGCACGTGAGGAGGGATCTGGGCATCTGGTGCTGGGTGCCAAAATGCAGCCACCGCCAGGCTGGGAGGAAAAGGCAGCAGGGACTGCTGCCCAGTTCGACAAAGCCACCTTAACTGGAAGCACTGGGGCATGCAGGAAGGGTTAGCACCACGTGGCTGCAATCAGCACCATGTGCCAGCACCTCGCCAGAGCGGAGCCCACCAGCACAGATGCTTCAGAGCACGCTTTCCAGAAGGGAATTTGGTCCTAATCCCACCTGGGGATAAATTCCAGCAAGCCCAGGCTGCACGAGCCCTTTGAAGATGCTTATAGTTTCCTTCTGGGACTTATTTTGGGACAAACTCCAAAAAAAATAAAAACTACAAAGCTTCACGGGGGTGGGCGGGGAGGGGGAAAGGATTATTAACGCCAACATTTCAGCCAGGTGCCTGCACACAGGAGCAGGGGACGGCCAGAGCCCAGCTCCCGCTCCGCAGCTCACCTTGGAAGAGCCGCAGCAGCAGCAGCAGGCGATCCTGCGGGGCAGGGGCTGCTCTGCAGCCACCCGGCAGCTGCAACAACTTCATTAGCAGCGTGTTATTTTCATTCATTAAGCACTCAACCACAACTGAGAAGCAGCTGCAGCCTTTCAAAAGCTGGTTATGTAAAGGCCCCTTCTACCCTGCAGGGTTTCCAGGATCATTTGATTTTTTTCCTCGAGGGACTCCGTGCTCTTATTAGCAGCATTTGGGCTCGCTGATAAGCGCATATTTTCTCACTTGCTATCAGCGCGCAGAAGGGCCAGGCCTTTTCAGGAGATAACTGAGCAGAGGAAATGGTGCAGCTCGCTTCCCCCGAGGTGCCCAGCTGAATTGCAAGCAGCCTTTCCCACGGCCGGGCTGCAGCCAGAGGGGGGGCACGGGGCCGTGAAGGCGGCTGGGGCAGCGCTCGGAGCGAACAAAGCGGCGCCACCCCGCTGTGCCACGCCGGCAGGGCACCCCCCGTGCCCAACCCGCACCTCCTTGTGCAGGGCATCGCTGCTGATCCCGTCCCTCTCCGGCCCGGGGTCCGGAGGCAGGGCGAGCACGCTGGCGAGGCAGGTGTCGATCAGCTCCGTGCGGTCGGGGTCGCTGAGGTGGGGCTCCAGCGCGCTGCTCCGCAGGTTAAGGAAAGGCACCGAGCGCTGCAGCGGGGGTAAGGCAGCACCGGGGGTTTTAACGTGAATTCCTGCTGACCAGGCTCCGTGCTCGGTGCCACCAGCTTTGGTCAGAGGCAGGCAGGGCGCTCGCTGTATCTGTGTCAGGGCTGTGACGTGTTTGAGTATTTTTAACCGCGGTGCAGAAGTCAGCTTTGCGCAACGGAGCGCGCGGTGCCCTTGGCTCTGCGCTGCAGAACGGGCGCTGCAGAGCCCAGCAGAACCCAGCCCAAGGGCAGTGCTGAGCTGGCGGCCGCACGAGCCAGGCTGCTGAGCGTGACCGTGCTGGGAGCCTGCGCACAGCTCTGCCACCAGACCCAAACGGGGACGCGGGGCGAGGCTGCGCGGGGGCGCACGGCCCCGGCTTCCCCCAGAGGAAGGATACACCAGGTAAGTGCAGGTCACCATCGCCCGCTGCCGAACCGGCGTCCGCATGGCATCCAGAGGTTCTGCTTTGATGAACTCCTGGAACACAGCAAGGGGACGGTCACATCCACCCCCTGCCTGCCCCCGGACACGGGCCAAGCTCCGCAGCAGGCGCTGGCCCCGCACGGGCAGGGGTTGTGCTCACCACCATCTGGGCCACAAGCTCGGCTTTGCGGGAGAAGACGAAGTCCCCGCACTTGCCACCGTTGTGGATGGCTTGGCTGATCATGCAGATGCTCCGGATGAGGCACAGCTTCAAGGTCAGGTCCTGGGCACAGAAGGCAGGGTGAGAAGCCAAGGCCAGAGGTTCCCTGCGCAGCCCCGGCTCACCAGCCCACCCAGCACCGGTGCCTCCCCAAGAAAACCAGTGCCCAGGCTGGGCACGACAGCCTGGTCTGTGCTGCTCCCAGCACGCGGGCTCGGCCCCCACTGCTCCTCGTCCCCATCCCAGGCTCTGAGTGACCAGGGCAGCAGACGGGCACCCCCCGGTCACAGGCTCACCGGGCACCAGGAGCCTGCGCCCAGGCAGCGTGGGGAAGGGGACGGTGCCCCCGGGTCTATCCCTCCCTGGGGAGGCAGCACCCTGAGCACAAAACCCCAAAGAGGCAACTCCGGGAGGTGAAGCCCTGCGCCCCACAGCCCTCCTACACCGCTCTTTGTCCCGAAGGAAGCGGTGCCCACCCTGGACATCCAGGCTGCGGGTCCCCCCGGGAAGCCTGGTGGGCTGTGACCCGTGGAGCGGGGGCCCGGTGGTCACGCTGCCTGCCCACCAGCCCGGGCTGTCTGCGGGATTAACGGCCCCGGGAGAGCAGCGGGGCCAGGGGGTGGGCAGCCAGGAAATGGGATAATGGCTATTAAGGCCTCTTTATGCTCCTGGATGTGCGCAAGCTGAGGCTGGGCCCCTCGCCCCAATTAAAGGCGCTCCCCTCGTTCCAGCCCCCCGCGCCCCTCGCCCAGCTGAGCCCAGCAGGCGGGGGCCGAGCCGCGGCGTCCCCGGCGCGCGGGGGCAGAGAGACAGCAGAGGCTGTTAGTGCCAGCAGGAACCCAGAAGGAAAAGGCATTAGTGGAGCCCGGAGAAGGAGTCTGAAGCCTGACAGCTTAACTTCAACTTGACAAATGCCATTTTTGTTGTTCAGCCTTTAAAATACAGAAACGCACGTACCAAAATACAGCCCCCCCCCCCCCCAGGACAGCGATCTGCGTTTTAATATCCGATTGATTGATTGAATGATTGTTCCGGGGGAAGCAGGAAAATGAGTTCAGGGAATTTTCCCCGAGCTGCGGGCTGCAGCTGGGTCTCTGGAGTCCCCAGGCGTCCCCGGCACAGTGCCTGCGGGGGGGAGGCGGGGGCTGCCCTCGCCGTGGGCAGGGGGCCGCGCACCGCTCCGCGCAGAGCCAGGAGCACCCTGGGCACGGCCCCGCTGCCCACGGCTGCGAGCACAGCCCCTGAACCCGGCCCCAAAAGAGCTCCAGGTGCAGGCAGAGATCCTGCATGAGCGTGTCCCTGGGACCTGCAGTGCTCCGGGAAGGGCCGGGGCAGGACGGGCTGCAGGCAGCTGGGGGAGGCTGGAGCAGCCTTTGGGCAGCTCAGCTTCTCACCCCTGCAGTGACACATTTTCACCTACTCCTCCTGTCCTGCCAGAGAGGCATTTTCGCCTTCCCTCTGCAGTGCGTTTTGGCACTTCCAGGCGATGGCCCCAGCAGCGGGGTCCTGCCCGTGGAGCCCCCGGGTGAGGAGCAGCAGCTCCCGGGGGTGTCCCCAGGTCCCCAGGGGCAGGGCACCACTGCTGTGAGCGCAGCCTGGGGCTGCTTCTGAGGGGAGCCCAGAGCAAGAGGCAGGCAGAGACAGCAGGAAAGAGCAGAGAGGAGTTGAGATTTAAGGCCTCACACTGTACCTTGGTTTCTACCTTTATCCCCAGAACCTGCAAAACAAGACATGGGCAATGCCCGAGTGAGCACACGCTGCGGTAGGGGACCTCCTCCAGGGCTGGCCGCAGGGCACCCAGAGCAGCCCGCCTGCCCCAGCCCTCTCCGGGGAGCACGGGGGCATCCCGAGGGCTTACCTTGGTGTTAAAGTACTGGAAGATGTTCTTCAGGATGTCTGCTTCGATCCGGGACAGCACCAGCTCCTTGGGCGCGTGGACAGCCACGAAGCCGTAGCACAGGATCAGGGTGCTCTTTATTTTCTCCACCTCGTTGTCACTGCGGTCCTGTCACAGCAGATGAGCGAGTTTATTGCTGGGGGGCCCAGGGCCGGCTCCTGGGGGCTCTGCCCGTCAGCTGAAGGTACCCCTGGAAGCCAGGGCCCCCCCTTTCAGTGGTTTTTCTGCTCCCCACCCTGCTGCTGGTGGTGGCCGTGCCTCCCAGAGCCCCGCTGGAGCATCAGGTGTGCGCACTGCGCTCACAGCACGTCGCCGCCCGAGGCACGAGGCCCCATTTGCCATCCAGCATTAATCACTGCAGCCCTGCAGGGCAGGCACTCGCACCCCATACTGGCCAGGTTATTTTGGGAACCTGCTGTTAAGCTGCCGTGCTAGGAAACCGCACTCACCGCCCCATTAACCACCGCAGCCAAAAGGCTTCACGCCCCCCGTCCCCACGGAGCCCGCAGCAGCCTCCCTCTGCTCCAGGAGCAGGGCTCTGGCTGCCGGGCTCTGGCCACCTTTCTGCGGAGGGCCAAGGTCTCCTCCGTGCCCACGCAGTGCTAATCCCACCCCTCAAGCACCCAGGCTGAGAATCTGGGAATTAAAACAGCCTCCGGGACAGAAAGTCGGAGGAAAGGCTCAGTGCTTCCATCGATGCTCCCATCCCTGGGGGAGCGCACAGCTGCAGGAGCCCCGTGGGGTTGCTGCCCACCACCAGCAGCCCCACACGGCACCAGGGTGCCCTGATGGATTCAGCAGCCAAGCTGCAGCCCACCCGAGCCCACCCAGCAAGCCAGCAGCCTCCCTGCGACCCCAGCCTGCAGGAGCACGGAGCTGAGAGCTCGGAGCCAGAGCCAAGCAGCCCCAGTGCCAAGAGCCCTCTCCGGAGGGGCAGAGGGCATCCCAGCCCCGTGCCGAGCACACCGAGGCAGGGAATTAACTCCTCTCCAGAGCACAGCTCCAGCAGGCGCTGCATCTGAAGCAGCCTGCACATCCCCTTCACTGCAGGCTGTCCCGGGGGGGCCACTTTGGCTCCCTTACCTTGAAGATGCTGAACAGTCCCACAGATTTCTTGAAGACATCAGACCTAACAAAATCCTCCAGCTTGGCCAGGGTTTCCTCCAGGTGATTTATTGCACATATCCCAAAGCAGGAAGCGAGTCCCTGGAGGAAGCGGAGAAAACACATTAGCAGAAAGCTATTAATTCCCCGGCCCCAACTGACACTTGAAAAGAGCCCGATTATTGGTTTAATTCCAAACATCTGAGCCGTGCCCAGCTGAGCGCAGCCCTGGCAGCCAGCGCTCCCCTCTCCCGGGGCAGGGACACCTCTCCGGGGGCCGTGGGGCCGGTGATGCTGGGTGACCCAGCTGGGATGCGGCTCCAGGAGCTTCTGCAGGGGCAGGAGATGCGGCACGCTCCAGCGGGCACACACGGCAGCTCCGTGGGATGCAGGAGCCCGGTCAGGAGCTGGGAGCGGGGCTCAGCAGGTCCTGCCTCTCTGCCACGGCCTCCAGGAGGTCTGGCAAGCTGGGCCGAAACTCCATAAACAGTTTATTCAAGAGCAGCCCTCGGCAGAGCTGTGTAACCTGGAGGGAAGCCAGGCACCATTAGCTCGTGTTTGCGCTGCTCTTGGAGGCAGCTGCGTGGCGGGGCCGCGCTCAGCGCTGCGAGCTCCAGCAGGGCAGTGCCACGCGGTGGTCCTGGTGGTCCCGGTGGTCCCGGCTGAGCGTGGTGGGACCCCGGCTGGGGAGCACAAGGAGCTGGAAGGAGCATGGGGACGGCCAGCACTACAGGGCTACAGCAGCAGGACAGCCACAGAGCCGTGCCCAGAGCATTCAGGCTGAGCTGAGCTGAGGAAATGCTGCAGGTCACGCGCAGGCAGGGGACCGAGCTGGAGCCTGCCCAGGACAGGCAGAGCAGCAGTGACAGCAGTGACAGCAGCACGCCTGCAGTGAGTGTAGGGGCAAGGAGGGACAGGGATGTCATCCGGATTGCCCCTCGGTAGCCAAAAGCTGCTGCAGCCTTGGCCACTTGGAGCAGCTCCCAAGGGGGGGAGGCCCTGCTGCAGCCCCCGGCTCTTGGGCTGGAGCCCGGAGCAGGCAGAGCTGGGTCCCTCCCCTGCAGAGCGGTGGGGACGGATTGAGAAACAAGGAGCAAGAGCTCCACCAGAGGGGCCCCGCTGGGTTTGCACACCCAGACAGGGCTGTTCTGACTCCTAATTAACCAGCTGCTGACAGAGAAGGGCGCGCAGCCCCTCTGGCCCCACGCGAGCCGGGCCAGCACCTCCTGGCATCTCCTGGGGTGCAGGTTTAGCTCCCCAAACCAAGGAGGCAGCAGGAGCCAAAAATCCCTCCTGGCAGCAGGCAGCTGCAGGCTGCCTCCCCCCATTTCTCTGCCCATTTCTGCAGGAGCTGCGGCCGTGCCCTGCAGCCACCCCCAGGCGGGGGGACCCGAGAGCTCGGCGCGGTGGCTGCGCCCCCGGCACAACTCCTCTCACCTCCCTTTCTGCCTCCTCGTGGTATCTGGCCGTTTCCAGGAGCTCCTGGAGCTGCTTTTGCACCAGGTCCTTGCTCACACACGCCCCGAGCGTCGTCCCGATGCATTTGTAGAGGAAGTTCTGGAGGAGCAAGAGGCAGTTACAGACCACGAAGCCCCTGGAGGGGGACCGAGATCGGTCCCACCAAGGCTCCTCCTCAAATCTGCGCCCAGCCTGACATCAGCCGGGCATCAGAACGAGCCCCCAACAGCAGAAGGCACAGAACTGGAGACAAACTGAGGACAAGGTTTGGTTCCAAGCCCACCCAGCTGCTCGCTGACCTCCCCTTAGGCACCAGCGAGGTGCCAGCACCACGATGCTCTGGGGACACCGCGTGCCAAACCAGCCCCGGTGAGGACCATCCCTGCCGGCCCCTCGTGGCCCTGCAGTCACCTTCTCCAGCGGGAAGCCGTTGTAGCAGTTGAGCTGCCTGCACATCTCCGTGACGAAGTGACAAATCCACGTGTTGTCCGAAACAGCCGCCAGGGTCTCCTGCAGGAACTGCGGGCGAAGGCGCCGTCAGCCGCAGGCACCGGAGGGGCGAGGGCAGGGCAGCGACACGGGGGGTCTGTGCTGGAGGTGCCCCCACCCCAGAACCGTGCCCTTCTCCCCCCAGCCACATCTCCCCAAGAGCTGCGCCCAGGTGACGCTGCCGCCTTGCAAGGAGCGGGACGAGCCGTGCCCGGGTTTAATTGCTTCTCCGTGCCCTATTTTTGAGGCTCTCCAATTAAGCGGGGAGACACACCTGGGACCGGTGTTCTCTGACCCACCAGCAAGCCTGGAAGCTCATTTTTAGCTTTCCCTGCAGAACGGCAAGGCACACACCGCTAACCTGCATCTCTGCTTCTGAAGGGACGGGACCCGACAGCGGGTGCCAGCCCCACCACCACGAGGGCAAACACCCAAACACCCGCCTGCCCCCCGGCCGCTGCTGTGCCACGCACGCAGCCTGGGCAGGCTCAGGGGGCACGGGGCTGGCTCCAAGCCACCCTCCCAGCGCCCCCATTGCAGCACAGAAACCCTTACCAGCAGCAGCTTCTCTTCCCACTCCTTCTGGCACAGGCACTTCTCTGTGTTCTCTAGGAGGAAAGCACATTTTTGCCCTCATTTCTCCCCCTCGCTGAGCGCCACACAGCAGGGCACAGGCTCTGCCCGTGCTGCGGGAACCCCACAGCCACTTCTGTCCTGCCACAACGGGGCTCACAACCCGAAACAGGGACTCATGGTAGGAATTAGTGGCACCAGGGTGATGAACAACCCTATTAAAATAGGGAGCACTACTTCAAGGAGCTTCAGCACGCCGAGTCCCACGGCACGGGGGCAGCACCCCGCTCCTCTCCTGGCTGGCAGCAGCCCCCTCCTACCTTCGATGTGCTCCACCAGGGCAGGGACCCTCTTGCTCCAGAGCTGCTCCAGCGCGGGGTGGACGCTGTACTGCAGCACGTGCAGCAGGCGCAGGGCAGCCGCCCCCCGGCAGTCTCCTGCGTAGGGCTGGGAGGATACGACCTGGGGGGTTTTGGGGAGAACAAAGCGTCGGTGCAAAGAGGGTAATGGCAGGGTGCGAGGCAGGTAGCAGGAAATCAAACGCAGGAATGGGACACTGGAAAGGGATTGAGCTCTACAGCTCAATGAAACCACAGCTTCTGCCTTTTGCTCCAGCTGTCGGTAAGTGGAAGGTTCTCAGGGGAGAGCCTCTCTCCAAACCCTGCACCCCTCTGTGGGTGAAGGGAAGAACGCATTTCTCACTCCTCCAGGGGCTGAGGAGTTCTCCAGAGCCCTGTGAGAGCAGCGTGAGATGCGCTGCAACACGCCCTGCTCCTGGGCTGTGCTGTCCAAGGGGAGCCCGAGATGTCACAGCCTGGGGACAGGGCTGCACCAAACCCTATAGGATGTGGGTCCGGACACCTCTCCCCGCAGCATCCGCCTGCCTCTTTGCAGGGGACAAGCTCCTTCCCTTCACCATGAGGGTGGGCACCCTCCTGGACGTGCCCCCAAGGAAAGTGGGTGCGCTCTGCCTGCAGGCCACTCACCAGCAGCCGTGTCGTCAGAGCGTAGGGCGAAGGCAGATTTCCTACAAGAAAAAAGGAAAAAAGCATCAGAAGGCACCTCCCACCGAATGCCCACAGCAGCCTGGCACCTCTCCCGCGTGCAGACGTGCCCCAAGCGTGCAGGGGCAGAGGGGGTGAGGCTGGGACCCACCGTTCAGGTCGTATCGGATGAGGTTGGCGTTTTCCCCCTCCTCTTGCTTCTTCATGGCCAGGTACATGAGGCTCTTGCAGAGGGGAGTCAGGGCGTTGGTGAACTGGATCGGGGTCACAAACTCCAGGAGGTACGGCCACAGCACCTGCAGGGGGGAGCACGGCACTGCTGGAGCGGGGCACCCGCAGGGAGCCCGGGGTCTGGAGGGAGAGGAACTGGGAACACCGGGGCCAAGCCCCTGGTGCTGGGGGGCAAAACCTGCAGCCCTTTGGGCACTGCTCTCCTCCAGGCAGGGAGAGAGGCGAGTGCTCAGCTCTGGCCCTAGAGGAGCCCGTGGGGCACCCCCTCCGAGCACAGCTCTCTGGGGGCAGCCTCCCTGCCCAAATCTGCCCTGCATCCAGCGGGGAGGGGACGGTGGCAGCAGCTCCTGCAGCGTTACGGGGCTGTGACAGCCCACCCTGGCAGGCAGAGGGGGCATCCCATACATCATACGGGCTGTGCGGGATGGCACAGGGCTCTCCAAGGACCACCCCAGTGGTGGAGACACCCACGCAGACTCACGTTGTTCATCCGGTCCACGGTGGTGCTGAGCAGGAAGAGGGTGTTGACGCTGATGCTCTGCACGCTGTCACTTGTCAAATCATCAGCATCCAGCGGCTGCTTTTTGGGCTGCTGGGAGGGAGGGGGAAGGCACAGATCAGCACAGACACTGCTCAGAGCCACTCAGGCAAGCACATCTCTCAGCCCCACAAGATGTTGTGCCAGGCGAACCCAGCAGCCTGCTGGTTCCAGCCTGCCCGGCACCCCGCGGGACCCTTACCGCCTCCGAGGGCAGCGCGCACTGGCGCACCAGGTACTCCATCATCGCCTCGCCACCGGGCTGCTCCAGGTAGCCGTGGTGAGCCATGGCACTGATCACCTGCACCACGGCACGCTTCACCTGCAGGGGTACGGGAGGAGAGAGGCTGCGGTGGGGGCTCTGCCTGCTGCAGGGTGCCCACCACAGCCACCCCGTGCTTTCCTCCCACCGGCAGCAGGGAACGTGGCCACAGCCCCCGGGCACCACAGTGGGGTCGGAGCCTGCAGCTCTCCACGGGGACAGGAGCCTCATGCCATGCTGTGAGTGGTCCCAAAGCAAAATTTGGGCTTGGAGCACCCCGTGGCCACAGGGGCTGCGTCACCAGCAGCTGGGCGCTGGGTTTGGTTCCCCCGGGTGCTCCAGGGCAGCGCTGTCCCCATCAGGAAGGGAGCCCCGTGGCTCAGATGCGCTCTCGGCACGGGGCAGACAGAAAGCCAGTTGTGACATGCTCCCCGTTTACTGGGAGGGCATGCACTGGGCACGCTGTCAGACCTGCTGAAAAGCCGGCCAGGGGATGGGTGAGCAGGAGGAGGCAGCTGGGGACGGCCGGGCAGGGCCCTGGGAACACCTCAGCCCCGAGGCACACGCGGAGGAGCAGACTGCTCACCTTGTCATTGCTGTCCTGCAGGGGGAGTTTCATCGACGAAAGAATAAAGGGCTTTTTAATCTCCATTTGGGAGGCTGCAAAAAGAAGAAAAAGAGTCTCTGAGGATGGTGCTGCCGAGAACGCAGCCCCTGGTGCCCAGCATCCATCCCCCTGCCCCTTCCCAGCCGGCCGGGCCATCAGGATGGCATCATCCTCATCATCCTCATCATCCTCCTCCTCCTCTTCCTCCTCCCCACCCCTGCAGCCAGGGACAGGCTCATCTGCCCCCTGCTCATCAGTTTGCAGCCAGGGAACAGGGCAGTGGGCAGGAGGAAGGGCCCGGTTCCACACCCCTCTGCCCCCTGCAGCACTCACGGGCGCTGTTGATGATCTGCCTCATGATGAGCAGCGTCCCCACGCGCGTCCTCTCGTTGCTGCTCTCCAGCTTCGGGAGGAGGAAGGCCAGCACGCGGTCAGGGAAGGAGCAGGCTGCAGGACACAGCGGCTGTCACAGGCGTGCTGCACCCCGGGGTGGCACAGCCGGGGGATTTGGGGTGCAGCACCACACCCCGAGGAGCGCCCTGCCCTGCACCCCGATGTGCCATGGGGGCTGCATGCCTGCTGCACCAAGCCCTGTGCTATTCAGAAAGCACCAGGGCTGCTGTCCCAGCTGGCTGGGGTCCTGGGGAAGCAGCCGTGCCACCCCATAAATGCCCTATAAACGGCCCAGCCTGCTCTTCACCCCCAGACTTTGTGCTCTCGGGTGCCTCCGGCACCGTGCCTGCGCTCTCTGGCACGCTGCAGGAGTTTAATTTATGCTTCCAACAAGTGCTGCCCCGCCTGTCAAAACATTTTGATCGTTAAAAATAAAACCAGTCTGCAGCTGCCGGAATTGGAGCAACGCTCGTGGGCTTTGGAGCGGCGCGGCTGGGGAAGGAAGGGCTCGGGGACGGGGCAAGCTGCGGATCTTAGCTCTGGGGACGTTTTGGCGAGCTGGGGGCAGCTCCAGCCACGGAGCTCCGTGCCCAGGAGGGAACAAGCTGTGTTGTGTTGTGTTCTGTGTGATGCTGCTGTCACGAAGGGCAGCACCAAGGAGGACAGAGGAGCATCAGATTGCCTCTACTGCCCCTCGGCTCCAACCCACAGGCATGGCACGCTGCTGAAGGGGCCCTGACAGAGCTCAAGAGGTTCTAAAGGAAGGGCTGAAACTGAACCAGGCTCTTTGGAAAGGTCCCTGCAAGGGGCTGGGGCAGCAGCGAGCTCCAGAAGGAGCTGAGCTGGCCCCGTGTGCCTCCTAAAAGAGCTCCAGCGAGCCGTGCGCTCTGGACACACGGAGCTTCTGTCCCCTGCAAGCCCGATGCCAGGGGCTGCAGTCAGGACAGGAACCAGCACCCCTCTGCCTTCCATCTCCCTGCGTGGCCATGCAGCATCCAGCAACACCCCCAGGCCCTGCTGAGACCAGGGGGAACACAACCAAAACCCTTGGAGAGGAGCAGGGCACGGGCAGCACACCCGCACCTCCCAGAGGGGCAGCAGGCGTTGGGACGGGCGCGCTGCACCAGCCCTTACCGAGGACAGTGAAGCAGCGGAGAACCTCGGTGTGGTTTTTAACAGTCAGGGGCACGAACGGGTCGGCAGGAGCACAGATCTGTGGGAGAAACAGCCGTGTCAGGGACGTCACAGGGTGGGCTGCAGACCCGTGCTGGGCACTGGGATGAGCAGAGGTGGCTGTGGGAACACCCCACGGCACAGGAGCGCAGCGCGGAGCTCTCCGCGTGCTGAGCGCCAGCTCGGGTGTGCTCAGAGGGGGCCAAGCCCCCCCGAGAGGTGCTTGGGAACTCGATGTCCTCTGCTATTTAAAGGTGTCCCCCTGCCCAGCTGGCCGCTGCCTCTGCAGCTCCTCCAGAAGGAGCCGACCTGTCTGGGGGCTATCAAAGCACCGCAGGCACCCGGTGCCGCGAGGCCAGCACACGTCTGCTTGCTCTGGTCTGCCAAAAGGACGCTTCGGGCTGCAGCTGAGCCAAAAATGCTTTGCTGAGGCCAACCACGTCCAAAAACCCAGAGCCCCCCCCCTGCAGCCACCGAGGAGCAGCTCCTGCAAACGGCACCGGCACCGCACGGGCACCACCCTGCACCACCTCCAACACGCACCTTGCAGGGACAGCCTCTCCCTGCTGGACACTTCCATGGTTCAAAGTCAGTTAAACATTAAAAAACGAGCGCTCTGCTTTGCTTCAAGCCCTGGAAGTGATCCTAAGAGCCTGGTGACAGGCTCGGCAGCCTGAGAAGAGGTCCCCGCGTGCTGCCAGCGCCCGGTTTGTTCACCCGCAGCGAGCTGTTTGAAAGGTCAGCCAGTCCCCAGAGATTTGTTTTCCCTCTTCTCGTGACCGCACAGCCAGAGCTGACCCTCAGAGGGACCCCGGCTGTCCATGTCACACCAGCACGGCCAGCACCCGAGCTTGGGGACTGCCAGCAACGCCGGCTGCTGCTCGGAGGAGAGGCAGGAGCAGGACCAGGGCTGGGTGAGCCTCGCACCCCATCACCGAGCTCAGCACCAGCACAACCCCGCTCCAGGGGCTTCCCAATCCCACCCCCCAGCCCCAGGGAACCCCTACCTGGGGGTGCAGGGTGCCCAGCAGCGCGTCCAGCTGCACGTCCAGGCTGCGGCTGCCGATGTTGACGGAAGCTTCCAGGATCTGGCAGAGGCTCTGCACAGCGAGAGACCGGGCTGCAGTGAGCAGTGGGGAAGGGGGAGGACGGCAGGAGGTGGGGGGCCACGAGCCGTGCCAGCACACGCAGCCAAGGGCAGGGAGCGGTGGCGAGAGCGGCGACCCCCAGCCCACCGCGGTGGGCAACATCGGGCATCTCCCCCGGGGCACGGTGTGGGAGCCCCCCAGGGGCTGCCCCTGCCCTGGTGCTGTTGCAGGGGACCAGGGAGATGCACAACCAGGGTCAGGGACGGGGCCTGGGCAGCAGCTCCGTGCCCCCCAGCTCCTCACCTTGGATATGTAGAAGGCCTCCGCGTGCTTCTTGTAGAGGGCGAGGATGCCCGGGATGAGCTTGGGGAGCTGCTCCTCCAGCTTCTCGCTGGGCATCAGGTGGCTCATGGGTCCCATGGCCTCCACCACCGCCAGTCTGAGCTGTGGGGGGACACCAAGCGTTAATTAGCGTGGCCTGAATCCCAAATTTCCAGGCTGCCAAGGCACGGCCCCACTGTGCCCTCCCCACCCCACGGCCGTACCTTGGCCTCCCGGTGCTGCAGCCAGCTGTTGAAGAGCACCTCGTAGGCGCTGAAGATCTCGTTGGAGAAGGTGTCCTTCCTCACCGTGGGGTCCGGGGCCTTGTCCAAATTCGCCAAGTACTCCTGGATGCTTTCACTGAAGTGCTGCAGGGCTACAAGGCAGCTCGTGGTTAGGTTTCCCATGCGCACAGGGCGGTGTTCGGTTTGGCCCCCACAGGAGGCAGATGGCCGGGTGCTGTGGGGCTGAGCAGCCTCTCAAGGGACAGCACCGGGACCCCGGACAGCCTGCAGGCTTCCCGAGAGGCATCCTGGCTACCAGGGAAGCTGGCTAAGAGCCACGGGCTGCTTTCTGCTCCCTCCAACCACAGGAGCCTGGACGTGCCGTGCGCGCTGCTCCTGCGTGCCGGTTCCTGAGCAGCCCGGGGCAGCCCAGCACGCCCTGCCCAACTCGTCCCTCCAGCCCCCGGAGCGTGTCAGTGCAGGTTTTTTTCCTCCTTGCTGATCCAGCAGCAGTCACAGCGTGGCCCTGCAAAGCCTCCTGCCTCCAGCCAGGCTCTCCGGATGGAGCCCGCTGACTGAAGGGGCTGCCCACCTTCCATCTCCCCCCCCTGGGGGAAGCTGTTTGAGTCCCCCCCCAGCTTTACAGGGCTCCCCAGCAGCTGGGGGATCCCTGGGGGCTGGAAACACCCCGAGTGAGTTTCACTCTGGGAATTATCCCGCAGCCAAGCGCTGGGTGCTTTGGAGAAGGACCAGGCCCAGGCTGGAGGCACCTCGGGGGCTCCTTTTGCCCGACCCTGCCCAGCAGGGCCCCCACGGCCACGTCCCAAATCTCCTCGTCCCCTCTCCTGCTGGAGGACGGATCCTGCGGGGGGTCCCAAACCCTGCACCGGGGCAGCTCCTGCCCCACGGGACACCCACGGGACACCCACGGGACCGAGGCTCCCCCAGCCACGGCCTCACCTCCTGCATGTGCTGGGCGAGGAAGCAGCCTCGTGACTCGCGGCCTCGAGGTCTCCTGCGGTGAGATTGCGACAGGGCAGAGGGCTGGGGGGAGCGGGCAGGCGGCCACAAACCCCAGCGGGACCGGGCCGAGGGGCGCAGGGCCCTAAAAGCACAGGAACGGCTGCCCCCAGCCCGACCCCAGCCCCCATTGATGCAGGACCCCCGTGCTCAGCCGAACCTCGTGCCCGCAGGATGGCAGCGGCCACCCCAGGACGCAGGGGACAGCGCAGCCCCCGGGGGGGACAAATAACTCGTGGGCACATCACACGCTCGGCGTGCCCACGCCAGCGCTCCCCGAGGATCCCACAGGAGGAAGAGGAGACGAGGAGGCTCCCGAGAGCAGAGCCGGGCCCCTGCCCACACCATGACCGAGCTCCATGCTCACGGGACACGGGGGCACACGCAGCCCCCCCCGGCAGCCCCCAGCCCCCTCTTTGTTGATGTTTTTTCAGCCGGAGGCGCTGAGTCACGCCGTGACCTCGTATCGTGACCACAAGGCTTCCTCCAGCAGCCTCCCCACCCTCCCTGCGGCTCAGCCACCCGAGGAACAAACACTGCGGGCAGCGACCCTCCCTGCTGCGAGGGGCCGGCACCTCTCCGGCCTTATCGGGGGCCAGAAGCCCCCCAAAGCCTCCCCACAAGCCAGGAGGATGAGGAGGGCTGGGGGACACCCCCGCGGTGCAGGGTCTGAGGCTGCTGCAGGACTCGGGGTTTGGGCTGCTCCTTGGGCAGGGGACCCGAATTCGCACCCATCCTCACCTGGGAAGGGACCGGGAACACCCCCGGCTCTCCCCCAGCACCTTTCTGGAGCAGGGAAAGGAATTTAGCCCCCCCTTTCTAGACCCCACTTACACTTGGTCTTATTGCATGTGTCAAAACATCCTCATTTCGGTTAATCTCTCCTAAAGCATCTACAAGACGTTTGCCAGGACAAAACCACGTGTTTCTACCCAAAACCATCACCCCCCCAGCCGATTCCTGCAGCACGGCACTGGGAGGATCACGTCCCTGCACCCACCTCCCCGCCCCTGCCATCGGCACAAATCGGGCTCCAGACCCATCCTTCCCTCTGTGCACCCCTGGCCCCATCCCTCCGCGGTGTTTTGGAGAATTTGGGATGTTTTGGGAGAGCAGCCGAGGGGTTTTAGTGCTTCCCAGGGGCAAAGCCAGCAGGCTGGGGGGGCAGCGATGAGGCTGCTGCAGGAGGACCCCCACACGTCTCTGAGGTACCCCAAAAGGACGGGGACCCCAGCACCCCCCGGGCAGCCCATCCCGGGGCTCGGCCACACAAAAGGAATTCCTCCTGGGTCCGACCCCCCCTGCCCCAGCACAACTCGAGGCCGTTGCCTCGCCTCCTATCACTTATCACCCGTGATAAGAGCCCGGCGCCCTCCTCCCTGCAGCCTCCTTTCGGGGGGCTCTGGGGGGCGATGAGGTCTCCCCTCCGGGCCAGGCTCCAGCTCCTGCACCCCAACCCGAAACCCCCCTGAACCACTCGGGTACACCTGGAGCAGTCACCGAGATGGCCCGGCCTCAATTTGGGCTCCCTGAGCACGCAGGAACAGTTTGGGAGTCGCCTTTTCTTGCCTGGATCTAAACAAAGCCGAAGGAGAGCTCTGAAGGTCGAAGCGCTCCGACTTTTTGGGTAACCTCTAACTCAGGGAACCGGCCCAGGCAGAGCTCTCCGTGCTCTGAGCACCGCCGTGCGGCCCTCCCCGCAGCTCCCAGCACTGCCCAGGAGGCTCCCAGTCCCACATTTATCCCCCAACACCCAGAAGCACACCGGCATTCCCGGGCTGGGACACGCGCTATCAGCGAGATAAGCGCCGCGCTCCTGCGTCCCCCGCAGCAGCCGTGGGAGCAGCGCTCCTCCAGGCCCCTTGCATCGCTGCCTGGCCATGGAGAGAAACCTGCGAGTCCCCAGGATCACCCCCCCGTTGCTGTTATAAGGTTATAAGGTTGAGATTTCATTCATTTCATGCCCAGATTCCTGCAGCCAAGCTGCCGGGGGGACACGCACCGCCCTGCCCTGGGGACGGCTCAGGCACAAGCCACTCAACCAGGAGCCTCCTGCGATGCTCCAGCAGCTCCAGGTGGAGTTGGGCCAGCTCTGCAAGGACCAAGGGACAGCCAAAAGGGCTCTTTATCGGCCCTGGATGTCCTGGTGCCTCTGGGTCACACGAGCAGCAGCCCTCGACAAGCCCAGGGCTGGAGGAGGGCTCCAGGAGAGGAGCCCGCGACCCCCCCGCAGCCCACCACGAAGCATCCCCGTCCTCAAGGTGCTTCGGGGAATGACAGGAGTGACCTGAGCAGGAGCTGGCCGGGCACATCGGGGTCCCTTCAGCTGGGGCTAACACACCCTGCTGCGGGTGGCCGGGGCTGTGGCTCTAACACAAAGGGCACCTCTGCTCACGGGGCGGTGAAATGGGGACCATGGGGAGCAGAGGAGTGCAGGAGAAGTTCTGCTGGACCCCGGTGACCTGGAGCTGACGGCTCCTGGAGCTGCCCAGAGCCCTGCTCCCCCTTCAGGAACAGCCCACCCCACCCTGCCCAGCTCCCCAGCCACAGCCCACAGCCCCTCCTTTTCCAGCCAAGGTAAAAAGTCTCCCCAGACACACCTAAAATCAAACACGCAGGGGAAGCTTACCGTAGCAGAAGACCGACTTCATGTGGTCCTGTTTTGCCATCCCCAGCATGGGCAGCATGGTCCCGAGGATGGAGTTGAGGAAGGGCACCATCCCGAACACTGCGGGGAGGAGGAAGGGGCCCTGCAGCAGCCACGGCACCGTGCGGGTACCAGGGCTGCAGGGCACGGCCAGCCCCTCGCTGCCAGCCACAGGGCCCCCTCTGGGACGGGATTTCTGCGAGGAGCAGGGACAAAGCCCCAAGTCCCCCCCCTGCTTTCATGCAGCTGGAATTTTAAGGAGGTTTGGCTGCGAAACCAGGCTGTGCCGGGCTTCCACGTGCACCGTGCTCCTGCCAGGGCTCCTCCGCTCCGGGCACTGCCAGGACCGTGCCGGGCACCCCGCTGCCAGCTCGGCACTGGGGGCCCCACCAGGAAAAGCAGCCAGAGCAGCGCAGGGCTGCCCAGATCGCCCCCCACCAGCAGCTCCCTAAGGCACTGGGGGTCCTCTTACACCCCACATCTTCAGAAGAGAAGGGGAATAAAGGAGCAGCAAGCAACCCACGTGCACCAACACCGCTCCTTTCCACGCCGGTACTCGCTGGTTTTTCAGCGAGTTACTTTTTTGGATTTCATCACAAAGTCACTTTACAAAGCAGACAAAGTGATGCTGAGGAACAAGTGAGGAGTTCGCCTCGCTTCCAGGCACGCTGGCTTGCTCAGCACCACATTTGGGACCCAGTTTGGGACCCATTTGGGACCTGGTGTGGGTTACAAAGCCCAAAGCCCCCAACGCCGCCCGCTGTGCCTCCCGGCACCGACCCCCGGCTGCTCAGCTCACCGTTGGACACCGAGAGGTTGGCAAAGGTCTGCACGATGAAGTAGTGCGGCAGGATGCCCGGCTGGAACTTGGTGAGCACCTCCTCCATCACCTTGTTGATGAAGCGCTGCCCGACCGCCACCAGCACGCTGCTGGCCGCCTGCTGCCAGTCCCGGATCACCTCCTGCGGGCGGGCACAGTGCGTCAGGCACCGCAGCCTCCCCAAAACGGGGCTTCTGCCTCGCCGAAACCACGCTGCGTGCCCACCCCAAGCGCCGCGGGGAGCCCCGGGGGAGGTTCGGGGATCAGAGGTGATCCTTCCCACACCAACCTGCAGCCCCCCAGGCGCTGCCTCCTGAACTCCAACCCCTGCGTGCCATCCGGGGATCCTCAGCACCCAACTTTTATTTGGCACTTATTATTTGGCACTTATTATTTGGCACTTGTGTGCACAGTGCTAGGAAAAAAACCATCAGCCCAAGCACCCCAGCTCTCCCCAAGGAGAGGACCGTAGATCATTCCCTACGCCCCAAAGACCTTTCCCTACACCCCCAGGAAGGAGCCCGGCCAAGCGCGCTGCCCGGAGGAGCCGCAGCCCCTGGTGCCCTACCTTCGACTTGGTCATTTCGTTAGACGCCAGGAAGATGACCACCTTGGCCGTGCTTTTGTCCAAGCTGCCGATGTTGTTCCTCACCACGGTCTCCATCGCCTTCAGGATGATGACGCGGTGCGGATAGGCGAGCTGCAGGGCACCGAGGGGTCAGCCCCCCACGGGCACCCCCTGCTTCTTCTGCTCCCACCCCAGCACCTCCACCAGCGGCTGCAGCCACGCAGCCCCCCACCACCCCCCGAGCCCAGATCCCCCCCCTCCACACCCCCAGCCCCAAGGGACCCACCTTGTCGTGCTGCCGCAGGTACTCGTCGCAGGAGTGCAGGATCTCCTCCGGCTCCGACTCGCCCAGGTAGCACAGGGCGTTGTAGATCTGCTCCTGCACCAGCGGCTCCTTGTCCGTCGTGGCATCCATCAGCGTCGTGGCGAGCCCTGGGCGAGACAGGCAAGCTGCAAAGTTTTGGCTTCCACCGAACGTCTCCAGGACACCGGGAGGAGCAAAAAAGAGCTGCAGCCCCGGGGGTTTTATTCCATCCTCCCGTGAGCCTCCCATTTAGCATCCTACCGCTGAACTGAGCTTCACCAGACTTTTTGCTTCTCACCCCGTGAGCAAAACCCTTTACTGGGCAGTAAGGACCCGTGCTGGGATTTATCACCCCGGAGGTTTCAGGACACGGCTGAGCAGCACCGGGGCTGCCCGGGTGCACCGAGCGCCTTGGGCTGACCCCAGGCGCACCCCACGGCGGCTTTAGGGTCACTTTGTGCCTGCAGAGCGGGGCTGCTCGTTAGCACGCACCGTGCTCCACGAGGCTAATTGGTATTGTGGAGCAGGGCATTGCTCATTAGAGCCACCGCCATAATAAGGCTAATTAGGAGAGGTGCACAGAGCCCTGCCTGCCCTGGGACCGGGTCCCGCTGGTGGGCACCCGTGTCTGGGGCAGACGGGGGAGCCCCCCCCCGGCAGGCACCCACCACGGGTGGCCCCAGGAGGTCACCGCTGTCCCCAACACCTCGTGCTGTCACACAGCCCCTGCGCTCACACCCAGCCGTGCCCTAATTCAGGGGGACAGCACAAATCCCCCCGTTTTGGGGGGCTGCAGCGCTTGCCCCCAGCCTCACGGGCACGTTGGAGCCGACGTGTCCCAGCGGTGCCTGCTGCTGGGGGTGATCCCGTTCCCAGTCCCCCCCCCGTGGGCTAATTAAGCCGGGAAGCTCGTTATTGCATCAATAAAAGCGGGATTCATCTCAGAGCCGGCCGGGATTAATTTCGGAATTCATTTCGGAAGCCCCCGGGTTTTACACCAAAAACAGCTCCGGCTCCTGCCCCTCCCAGCCCCGAGCAGTTTCTAGGGCAGGGGAGCGCCGGGCACGGGGCGGCTCCGTCCCGGCACCCCCGGGGGGGCAGCACCGGGTGCTGGAGGGGGGGGGGGGACAGGAGGGGCTGAGCCCCCCGGGGATGCTCCCGGAGGGTCGGGGCTGGGGGGGGCCGTACTCACGCCTGATGCGGGACTCCATCATGCTGCGTGTCCTCAGCCCGGCCGGTGGCGGCGGGGGGCGGCTCCCGGTGGGCTCCGTGCCCGCGGCCCCTGTGGCTCCCGGCAGCCGCCGGTCCCCGGCCCGGGGGGGGCGGGCGGCCCCCGGCCCGGCCTCTGCTTCCCAAACGCGGGCGGGCGGCGCGGCCCCCACGGCCATGGATGGGCCCCGAGGGAGGCCGGGGCTCGGCTCCTCCGCGCCCTGCCAACGGGAGCGGGGCGGGCGTCACGAGGGTGGGGCGGGTATCGCGACATGGGGATGGGTATCGCGACACGGGGACCCCGAGGTAACGGGATGGGCACCGCGGCAGCGGGTCGGGTATCGCGGCACGGGGAGGGGCACGGGGATGGGCACCCCGCGACACCGGGACGGGTATCGCGACATGGGGACGGGCACCGGGATGGGCATCGCGACACGGGGACCCCGCGATACCGGGATGGGACATCGCGGCAGTGGGTCGGGTATCGCGACGGGCACAGAGACACCAGGTCGGGCACCGCGACACCGGGACAGGAATCGCGACACAAGGTCGGGCACCCCGCGATACCGGGACGGGCATCGCGACAGTGGGTTGGGTATCGCGACACCGCACCGGGCACCCCGCGAGCCCCCGGGACTCCCCCCCCCCCGCACCCAGCCACGGCACCGGGCCCCGCTGTGAGGTCCCGGGGACCCGAGGGGCACCGGGGCAGGACCGGGACCGGCCCCCCCCTCACCGCCCACCCCCACCGGGTACCGGGCGCTGCCCCCCCGACCCCCACCCGCCGGGGGAGACCCCCCCGAGGCTGCCCGGTCCCGGTCCCGGTCCCGGTCCCCCTCCCTCCCCGGTGCCCCCCCCTCCCCGGTGCCCCCCCCTTCCCGGTGCCCCCCCCCTCACCGCCGCACCGGGCCCGGGTCGGGACCTGCCCGGGCCGCTCGGCCACCGGCGCCGCTTCCGGGTGCTTGGCCCCGCCCCTCCCTTTGAGGCCCCGCCCCCTCCCGCCCCGCACGTGACGGCCGCGGTCGCGTGGGAGCGGGGCGGAGCCGCGCACCTATCGGGGAGGGCGAAGCGCCCGGCCCCGCCCCCGAGGCGGTCACGTGGGCGGGGGCGGGGACACGTGCGGGCGGGGCACGTGGCGCGGGGACGGAGGGGACGAGGATCGGCCCCGGTACCGAGGGAACGGGGGGGGGCACGGCGGGACGGGGCCGGACACCAATTTATTGACCTTTTTGTTATACAGGGGGGCTGAGCTCAGCCCACAGCGCCCCAACGGCCCCTCCCCAGCACCATGGGGCTGGGGGCTGCAGTCCTGGGGTGCCCCGGGGGGGCTGCAGTCCTGGGGGGTCCTGTCCACATGGGGGGGCTGAGCACAGCGGCCCCGTCACCGCCACGGCTCCTGGTCCTGTTCCCGTGCCTTGTCCTGCTCCTGTGCCTCGTCCTGCTCCTGCTTCTTGTCCTGTTCCTGCTCCTGGCGCCGCTCCCCCCGCTCCCGCTGCCACCGCTCCTCCTCCTCCCGGTCCAGGCGCTGCAGCTGCTGCTCCACCTCCTCGGGGATGCTCACCTCCAGCAGGTTCTCCATCCCCGGGCCGGGCTCATCCCCAATCAGCACCTTTTCCAAAAAAGTCACGGAGGTGCCGCAGCCTGCGGGACCCCCACTGCCCTCCCCACAGCACCCCAGGACCACCCGGCACCCGCCCCCCACCCAGGGGTGCTGCAGGTCCCTGTCCCCACCTGAATGAGCTTCTCGCAGGCAGCCAGCACGTCGGGCTCCTGCTCCCAGCAGTGCAGCTCCCGCAGCACCAGGTAGGTGCCCTTCTCCCTGACGGCGTGCCGGCCCGCCTTTGTGGCTGTGAGCTGCCGAGGAACGAGGCTGTGGTGTGGGCAGGGAGCAGGCAGCGTGCGGGGGCTGCAGGAGGCAGCGTGCGGGGACTCGATGCCCCCACTCCACCGTCCTCAGCCCCACCGCGACGGGCACCCACCAGCATGATGGCTTCCAGCAGCATCTTGCGGATGTCGGGCTCTTCCTCCCGCTGCTTGTCCGGCGGCAGGTACTGCAGGTCCACGGGCAGCCCTGGGGAAGAGGCAGCCTCAGCGGGGTGTGGGGACGGCAGCCCCCCAGCCCCCAGCCCACCTCCCGCTCCGAGCCCCGCTCACTTTCCATCTCATCCTCGGGGAACTCCTCGGGGCCCGCGAGAGGCAGGAGCAGGAAGGGCAGGATGTCCACCTCATCGCCCAGCAGCCACTCGTGGTGCTCTAGGAACAGGCAGGGGTTATGGGGCCAGCAGCCAGCGCAGGGAACCCAGCCCAGCCCCCAGCAGCTCAGCCCCAGCGGCTCAGCCCCCAGCGGGACAGGGGTAAAATCAGAGGGAGAAAAGAACTCGGGGGCCAAGATACAGCTCAACAGGGAAAGGGAAGTGTGAAAACGAAGCAGTGAAGGCACCCCGCAGCTCACTGATGCCCACCTGTCCCCAGGGACAGCTCCCAGCCCATGGGGCTGCCCAAAACCCAACTCAGCACTGCCAGGGCTGGGACCCCCAGCTCCTCTGGGCAGCCTGGGCCAGGGCCTCACTGCCCTACATGGAAGATTTCCTCTTGATGTCTACTCTAACCCCTGCTCCTTTGGTTTAGTTTAAAGTCACCCCCCCGGCCTGTCACAGTCACAGAATGGCTTGGGTTAGAAGGGACCCTAAAGACCATTTGATTCCACCTCCGTTGTGGGCAGGGTGCCACCCCCTAGTCCACCCACAGCCCCACAAAGGGCCCCCCGGCTCTCCTGCAGCCCCCTTGGGCACGGGCAGCCCATCAGGAGGCCCCTGGGAGCCTTCTCCTGCCCATGCCCAGCACCCCCAGCCCTCAGCCGGCCCCACGGCGGAGCTGCTCCAACCCTGGGACCCCGGTGTCCCCCTCTGGACCCCTCTGCGGGCTCCGTGTGCTGAGGCTGTGCTTTGTGGCTGCTCCTGAGGCCACCTCGATCCCTGCCACTCCCAGCAGCCGGGAGCTGCAGGCAGGGGCAGCACCGTGCCCGTGGCAGCACCGTGCCGGGCGCCCTCACCGTGCTCGAAGCAGCAGTTGCGGAGCGCACCCACGATGCCTCGCCGGTGTCCGACGGAGTCCCGGTACTGCGTGAAGGGCAGCAGCCGCTGCAGCGAGCACCTGCAGGGACACGGGGTCAATAACCAGGCCCCACCGGGCCCCACCGGCCCTCACCGGGCCCCCGCTAACCCCCGCCGCACCGGGAGCGGTCCAGGAGCGCCCTGCGCCCCTCGGGCACCTGGCTGAGGTTGCAGAGCAGCGGCCCCAGCTCCGGGGGCGGCCGGGGCTCGCCCAGCGCCCCGAGCAGCGGCTCCAGCCCCCGGCCGCTCTCCTCCAGGCCTCGCAGCACCCGGCGCGCCCCGGGGGGGTCCCGGCACAGGTTGGCGAGCGTCCCGCAGGCCGGGCCGGCCGGCAGCAGCCCCAGCAGCGCCGGCAGCGCCGCCAGCAGCGGGCCCCGGGCCTGGGGCTCGGCGGCCACGTTGAGGAGGCAGCGCCCCGCCGCCGGGCACGGCCTAGGCCCCGCCGCCAGCCCCAGCAGCGCCTCCAGCACCGCGGGGTGAGCCGCCAGCAGCCGCCGGCCCTCGGCGGAGCCCGACAGCGACAGCGCCGCCTCCGCCGCCCCCGCCCGCGCCGCCGCCGCCCCCGGGCCCGGGCCCGCCTCAGGGCCCAGCAGCGCCGCCAGGTCCCGCAGCGCCTCCGCCATCGCCATCCTCCGCGCAAAATGGCGGCCGGGCGGAGCGGGGAGACAGGGCGAGCCGCGCGGCCAATCAGGGAGCGGGGAGCGGGAGCGGCGCGGAGGGAGAGCCAATGGGAGGAGGAGGAGGCAGGGAGGGGGCGGGAGTGGAGGAGAGAGGGATGCTGGGAGATGTAGTTCGGGCGCTGTGAGAGGACCGGGGGGGGGGCAGGGGACCGGGTCCCGGGGTGTCGGGATCCCGGCGCCCCCCGGCCGCGATCGTGCCCCCCGCGGGCCGGGAGACCCCACGGGGCCTGTCCCTGGCTGCTTCTGCGGGCACAAGGCCACAGCAGCTCCTCCAGCCGGCAGCACCCCGGGGTGCCCCCCCTGCCCACACCGCGCCCCGGGGGCTGCTCCCACCGCCCCCAAATTCCTTCTGCTCCCAGTTCCCCCAGTGCCACCTTACTGGGAGGGGGGCTGCCTGCTGGGCACGGCTGGGGGCCGTGTAAGTGACCAGAAGGAAACCTCGCTTGGAGCCACTGATCCCCTCCCCATCCCCCGCCCCCCCTCCCCCCCCCCCCGGTCACATCCCTGCTCTCCAGCTTCCAATTTCCCAAAAAAAAACTCAAACACGAGAGAAAAAAAAAAACAAAACAAAACTGGCACCAGGCTGAGGGGACGTGGCCGGGGCTGGCTCATGGTCGAGAACCCAGAGCCCCAGCAGCCCCCCGTGGGACCGCAGCCCCCCACATCCCCATCCCCCGTGAGGCCTCCCCCACAGCAGGACCCCCCCCCCTGCCTCCCCAGCATGGAGACCCTGAAAAAAGGTGGTGAAACACAGAAAACCTTTATTGGTGATGATACATTGCTATGCTGTAAGGTCACATCTCCCTGATGGGGTGAGGCTGGGAAGGCAGTGGCAGCAGCGGGCGCAGATGGAAGAGGGGGGGGGGACGGGGGCCAAGTCCTGCGCCCCCACAGCAGGGGCCGTGCTGGGAGTCCGTGGGCGTGCAGGGAGGGGGGTCCTGAGGCTGCCCCACAGGCAGCTCCCCCTCCTCTCCTCCTGCCAATTTTCCATCCTGAGCTGCGGTGGGAAGGGGGGGCGGCGTGCCCGGCCGTGGATGAAGGCAAACCCACCCCGGGGCCAAGTGCTGGAGGAAGGACCGGGCTCTGGCCCAAAAACCAGCGCCCAAAATCCCAGCGAGGCCCCGCTCAGCACCAGGACGGTGGGGCCGTGCTACCTCCCCGCTCCCAGCACCAACCCAGCCCCTTGTGCTCAGCCCCTGGGGCAGGGCGAGGCGGCTTCCCCCTGCCAGACACCACCGGGGGTGGGCTGCGAAGCCCCCAAAACGGGGGGGGAGCTGGGAGAAAAGGGGGCTGCAGAAGTGGGAGCAGGAGGCGGCGGCGTGCTGCTCCCACCGCGTGCCCCACGTACAAAAATAAACTCTGCCAGCACAGGGCTCTGGCCCCGCTCCAGCTCCGCCGCCACTAAAAGCCATCGGTGGTGCCAAAAAGAGAGAGCCAAACCCACCGGAGGTGTGGGGTGAGGGGGCCCAGTCCAGCTTTCGCTTCGTGGGAGCCGGCTGCAGGCAGCAGTCACTCAGGACCGGGGTGCAGGAAGCTGGAACCTCCCAGCAAGGATTAAAAAACAAAAAAATGAAAAAAAAATAAAACAGAAAAACACTACGTGAGGGCAAGAGCAAAGCAAACCTCTTTGAAACAAACGGACGCTTCCTTGGGGAGGGAGCTGGGGACAGTTCACCGAGCTCTGCGGGAGGAGGCTCTGCCCGCTGGGCCGGTGCTGGGGACGGACGGCGCTCGCTGCAGGCACAAAATCAGTGAAGAAAAAGTGCTCGAGGAAAAGTCCAGCCCGGCTTCAGAGCCACGAGGAGTTTGCAGGTCAGTGCAGCCAATGAGATCAGCGATAAAGTGCAGCAAAGCTTCTCGGAGCCCCCTCCACGGCTGTCCAAGAGGCCCCCGAGGGGACGTGGGCCGGGGGGAGCCGCGGCCGCGCTCAGTTCCTGGTGCTCCGAGGCTCCGGGGCACTCCAGTGTACGGCGGGCAGGGCGAGGGGCAGGGCGGGGAGGTGGGCGCGGGTGGGATGAGGCAGGGCCAGAGGCACCAGGGAGCAGCTCCGGGCTCTCACATGCAGATCACCTGCAACCTGTGGGCGAGGACACGGCTGTCACCCCCCCGCGGGTGAGCAGGGCGCAGGGCAGGGTGCCGGGAGCGGCGCACGCACCTGTCCTCCTCGATGCTGCCGCTCTCGGCGTCGTGGCCGTCCCTGCTCCCCTCCGTGTCCTCCTCCTCCTCCCCGAGCTCCATATCCAGCTCGTTTCCAGCCTCCGGGCGTGTGTAGGCGTAGCCGCTGGAGAGAGAAGGGCGGCGTGGTGTGAGCGCCCAGCCGGGGTGTCCCCGTGGGAGGGGTCCCTGCTCCAGTCTGCAGCGGGCTCGGGGCCCCGCATCCAGCCCCGGCCCCCGCAGGACACAGGGGGCTGCCCCCGGGGTGTTGCTGCCCCTGAGCTCGCCCCTCCACAAGCAGCAGCCTGCCAGCAGCTGAGGGGCTGCCCCTTCCCGGGGATCATGGCTCCTGGTCGGTGTCTCCAGCAGGCTCAAGCAGTGGTGCGGCTCTCGGGAGGCCAAGGAGGGGGCTGTGCTCGGCTGCACCGCCTGCTCGGTGTGCCAGGGTGGGCAGGGGGCAGCTCCCGAGCATTTATCTGCTGCTTTGGGCTCGGGGGCCAAAAGTTTCCTCCCCAGCATGGATGCAAACGGGCAAAGCGACTCGGTTAGGGTGACTTGGCGGATGTCATGGGGCCTGACCTGATGGAACGACAGGTAAAAAAGACAATCCTCTTCAGCCTCTTGTTGTAAAAGAAGTAGTTGAAGGACCAGAGGCTCCCGTCTTCTCCAAAGGGGTCTGAATCCAGGTCGGGGTTGTAGCTGCAACGACAAGCAGAGGGTGTGAGAAACGCTGCACCGGACCCTGCCCCCAGAGCCGACCCCGTCCCAGCCCCTGGTGCGCGTCTGGGGGGTGGAAACTGGGAAGGGGCAAGCCCAGAGCAGCCCCTGGAAGGGGCAGTGGGCAGGGAGTGGGGTGGGTTGGTGTCAGGAGGTCCAGGCTGTGCACACAGAACAGGGGCTGCCTCTGGGCAGTTTTTGGAAGGAAACTGGGGGGGCAGTTGGGGGGGGCAGCCGGGCCCATTCCCAAGGCGCAGGACGGGGATGGCAGCAGCAGCTCCCACAGAGCAGGGAGCCAGAGAACAACGGTGCGCCCTGCTCCGGTCCTTACCCACGGGTGGGCACACCCAAACGTCACCTTTTAGTGACAAATAACCACTTCTCTGTGGGGCACAGCGAGCAGGGAGGGGCCACGACCCAAGCAGCAGGGTGAGGGCACCCGTTACCTGTAGATGTCACACTCGGAAAGGCAAATCTCCTCATCCACAGCATCCCACAGGTGCGGCTTCAGCGCGTTGAAATCCTCCCGGACTGCAGAGAAGAGGCTGCAGTTGACAGCGTTCACCACCTAGCACGGAGCGGGGCCGTCAGAGCAGCGGGGAGCCGCTGCCCGCCCTCCCCACGCCCCCGCCGCAGCCCCCCAAAGCCCCGCGCCGCCCCCGCGGCTCTGCCCACGCACCCAGTTGAGGCTGGGCTCCCGGCTGAACTCGTGGCTCTTGGCGGCGCTGAAGTCGTAGTCGGGGCGGAAGGACTCGTTGAGCGTGGCGATCAGGTAGAAGAGGGTCTTGCGGCTGCACTTGTCGCTCAGGGGCCCCTCCTCGTCCCCGCTCTGACTTTTGCTCAGCCTGAGGGGACGCAGGAGTGGGGTCAGGAGCGTCACCGGCACGGCACACGAAGCCCGACCCCTGCCCGCAGGCAGAGCCCCCCCCCCCGCCGCGGTCTCCCCGTACCTGCTGGGGCTGATCCCCGTGGTCTGCGGGGGCGACAGCGCCTCCAGCACGTGGGGCTGCCCCTCCTGGCAGAACTGCTTGAACATGTGCTTGTCGTCCCCGGCCATCTTGCAGGAGTAGCTCTCGATCCTGTGGGGACACCGCGCCAGGCGTGAGGGGACCCCCGCGGCACCGGGACCGGTGGCAGCAGCAGCTACGGTCCCACAAAGGCCCCGAGGTGAGCGGTGAGCACGGGGACAGGATGCTTAAATCCCCACAAGTGGCAGGGGCAGCTCCCAGAAGGGAGGCAGAAAGTGTTCCTGTCGCTGCGGTGCCTGCCCAAAGCACGGCACCATGAAAAGGGGAGCTGGGGGGAGCCCGAGGAGGGGCCCCGCAGCCAGGACCCCGCAGCCAGGACCAGAAATGCCCCCGGCTGGCTGAGATCTGGCTCTGTGGCAGCCTGCCTGGCAGAAGGAGCTCTCGCTGCCCCCAGCCCTGATAATACCGAGTGGGTGGGGAGCAGAGAAGCCCCAAGGAGCCCTCGAGGGAAGTCACAAAGTGCTGGTGGGTCCCAGCGCCCAGCTTCAGCCCGAGGACACAACAAAGGGTCCCCAGCACCCAGCCCACGGCGCCCCAGAGAGGCCAGGGGACGGCCAGATGTCATTATCAGCATGAAATTAGAGCTCCAAATGAACTTCTTCCAGATTTTCAAGCCCCTCAGGCTGCCGGGTGACCCCCCCAGAAGCTCCCCACAGCCCTGCACCAGGGGCTGAGCGGAGCCGTGCGGGGTCCCCTCGGGGAAGGGGCAGAAACCTCGGGGTGCGGGCACGATCTGAGGGCCCTGCTGCTGCTGGGGAGCTCTTCTCTACAAAAACACCAAATTGTTCCTCATTCCGTAGTACCTGGCCTCATAACGACTGCTGGAGAGCCAGACTTTGAGCTCCAGCATCCCAGCCCTCGCCCCGCCGCACCCAGGCCTGGCGGGGCGCACGCAGCCGCTGTCCCCGCTGTCCCCGAGGGCTGCAGGGCGCTGGGGCGAGGAGCACGGCTCCAGGAGGGCACCCACCTGCCGATGATGTGGGCGTCTCCGGTCTCCACCGTCAGCTGGGAGTTTATTGCTTCGAAACTTGAGTTCTCCAGCAGCTTCATTGTCCCCGCGGCCGGCTCGGCGGCGATTCCCTGTGCAGCAGCGGCAGCGACGTGTGCGTGTCCTGCGGGGGACAGGGACAGCCTCGCGTCCTGCCCAAACCCCGGGCACGCAGCGTGGCCGTGCTGTGGCTGCTGGGCACACACCAGCAGCAGGCAGGGCACAATCTGGAAGCCAAACAGCTTTTTGGGGCAGGAGGAGCGGGCCGTGGCAGCCCTGATGGACCCCGCTCTGCCCCTGCGTGCTGCTATCGCCACCCTGCGCCCCGTGTGAGCAGAATTTGTGAGATCTTCCCCCGTTTCCACTTCAGCTGAGTGCCCACAGCGGCTGCCCCGTGAGCTGCCAGGCTCCCCTCGCTCCCCTTGTCCCACGTGAAGGTCACCGGCCCCTTCTGGCCGCCCTGCTTGGCCCTCGAAGCGGAGCTGGGACAGGGCAGACGGGCGCGGTGCTCACCAGGAGGCTCCTGGTGCTGCGGGTGCCGGCACCCCCAGGGGACACCCCCTGGGGACAGCGCAGCCCGGCTCCCCCAGCACGGGCCCCTCGCGGCGCCGGGCTGTAAGAGGAGAACTCGTAAACAGCCCGGGGGGGGGCGGCTGCCAGCCTCGGGGGCCTCCCCCAACCCGTGCCCCCCGCTGCCCATGGGGTGACCCCACCTGAGACCACAAACTCATGGCACAACGGCACCAGCAGAGCTCCCCCAGCGCTGGGAAACCAGCACAGGGCCCCCCCAGGGCATGGCAGGCGGCAGAGAGACCCCCAGAGACCCCCCCCCAGCACCCAAACTGGCTGCTGTAGAGCTCCACAGGGAGCGGGCAGAGGCCAGCCCTGAGGCAGGCAGCAGCGGGGGTTCTGCGGGATGGGATCCGGAGGGGACCCACCCCGAGCCCCTGGCAGCATTTTTGGAGGAGTTTTTGGGCACGGAGCTCGGCAGCGGGGAACAGAGAGGCAGCCGCACGGGAGGGGCTCTCGAGAGCTCGGTTCAAAGCTTTCGGTTTCGTTCATCTGGGAAGGAAGCCGAGCGCTTTGCCTGGGGTTTGCCCCAGAAACTGCCCCGAACCCGAAAACCACCGGGACGGGACCGGGACCGACACCAAAACCCTGGCACAGAGGCAGCGCTGCCAGGGGGGTGCCCAGCAGCAGGAGGGGGCGGTGGGGGGGGGGGGCTCGGCCACGGCTCGAGGGGAGCAGGAGCTGAGGGCAGGGGGGTGCCAGGGGCCGGTCCCAGCCCCATAGGGGGGGGGAGGAGGAGGCGGGGGGACGGCCCCCCCCAGCAGCTGGGCAGAGCTAATTTTAAACGGGGCCGTGATGGAAAGCAGAGCCTCGGCTTCAAGGGTCACGGGGCTCACGGCGCGTCCCAAAACAGGGCCCCAAAAACCAGTATCCCCCCAAAACCAGTATCCCCCAAAACCAGTATCCCCCAAAAACAGTGCCCCAAAACCAGTGCTGGGGAGTGGGACCCCATTGGGGGGGGCACCCCAAGCACCGTGCCTGGGAATAACGGAACCACCGGGGCTGGTAGGCCCCCAACACCCCCCCCCCACGCCCCCCCACATCCCTCCCAGACCTCCCAGTTCCCCCCCACACCTCCCCAGTTCCCCCCCTACTCCCAGTGCCCCCCCCCCGCCCCGGGGCCTGCCCGCAGCCGCCGCGGCCTACCCCGCGCGGACTACAACTCCCATGATGCCCCGCGCCCCCCGCGTCGCGTCCGGCCGCTGCACGGCGCCGCAGGGCGCGCCGGGAGATGTAGTCCCGGGGGGGTGCCGCTGGGAGCGGACTTACCGGCGCCTCCCGGTCTCGGCGGCGGCGGGGCCTTCTCCAGGCGGCGGCTCCTTCAGGCTCGGGGTGCCCGTAAGGGGAGGCGTCTCCGGGGAAAGCTCGAGGAGGGCCCGCGGGCCTCGGCCGCCGTCCGCCGTCTCGCGCCGGCCCGCCGGGCCCCCGCCCACCTCGACATGTCCCCGAGCAGCTCGGGACGCAGCGAGCGGCTGAGCGACACCTCCCGCGACCCCCGGGCGGCCCAAACGAGCGAGCGAGCGCGCAGCGACCGACCGACCGCCCGCCTCCCCCGGCACCGGACGACAACAAGCGGCCGGGCCCCGCCCGCCTCCGCCCGCCCCGAGCGCCTCTCCGCTTCCTATTGGACAACACCCCTGCCCGTCACCGCGTAGCTCCCCTTCCATTGGCCGAAAGCGACGTCACTCAGCACCGCGCTCCCGCCCTCCGAGCGGCCAGCGCCGGGCCCCTCCCTCAGCGGGGCGCTCCGAGCGCTGATTGGCTGATGGGGACAAAGACGGGGGGAGCAGCCAATCAGCGGCGGGGAGGGGCGGGGCGGGCGGCACCGCCCGGGAGGGGGGGGGGGAGCACCGGGAGCGGGGGGGGGGGGGGCACCGGGAGGGGGAGGGGGGGGGGAGCACCGGAAGCGGGGGGGGGGCACCGGGAGGGGGGAGGGCACTGGGAAAGGGGGGGGGGCGGCGCCGCCCGGAGCCCGTGGGGGCCTCTCCGGTGCCTCCCGGTGCCCCCCGGTCCCGACCCACCAGGCCCCGAGGAGCCCCGGGGAGCCCCGAGCCCCCCCCCCCGGTGCCTCCTCCCCCCCCTCCCCCAGCCCCGCCCCTCCCCGCCCCCCCCCCGTACCGGAACCGCGCTCCCCGTGAGCGGCGGAAGTGGCGGCGGCGGCGGCGATGGCTCTGCCCGGTGCCCCCTCCCCCGGCCCGGCCGCGGCCCCCCCCGCGCTGCCGCCGCCGCCCCCCCCCCCCACGGTGCTGATGTCGGTGCGCGTGGCCCTGGAGCAGCCCCCCCGCCGCCCGCCGCCCCCCGCCGCCCTGCTCCGCCTGCAGCTCAGCCTCCAGCCGCAGCCCCCCCCCGCGCGGCGCCGCTTCCGCCTCGGGCTGAGGACGGCGGAGGAGGCCGGGGGCGCGGTGAGAAACGGGGGGGGGCGGGGGGAGAACGGGGGGGACCGGGGGGCAGGGGGGAACGGGGGGTAAGGGGGAGGGGGGGTTGGAAGAGGGACGGGGGTGTCCTCGGTGCCCGGGTCCTGCAGTGCCCGGTGTGCCCGGTGCCCGGTTCCCAGTGCCCGGTCCCTGATTCCCAGTGCCCGGTGTCCCGGTTCCCCAGTGACCCCAGCCCTGGTGCCCGGTTCCCAGTGCCCGGTCCCTGATTCCCAATCCCCAGTGCCCCGGTGCTCGGTTCCCCAGTGCCCGATTCCCGGTGCCCGGTGTCCCAGTTCCCCAGTGTCCCCAGCCCTGGTGCCCAATTCCCGGTGCCCGGTACCCAATTCCCAGTGCCTGGTGTCCTTGGTGCCTGGTTCCCAGTGCCCAGTTCCCAATTCCTCATCCCCTGGTGCCCAATTCCTGGTGCCTGGTGCCTGATTCCCACTGCCCAATTCCCAGTGCCCGATTCCCGGTGCCCAGCACCCAATTCCCAGTGCTCAGTGTCCCAGTTCCCCAGTCCCCCAGTGTCCCCAATTTCTGGTGCCCAGTTCCTCATACCCAGTGCCCAGTGTCCCTGGTTCCCCAGTGCCTGATCCCCGGTGCCCGATTCCCAGTGCCTGATTCCCAGTGCTCGGTGTCCTGGTTCCCCAGTCCCCCAGTGCCCCCAATTCCTGGTGCCCGGTTCCTGGTGTCCAGTTCCTGATACCCAGTGCCTGGTGTCCTCGGTGCCCAATTCCCGGTGCCCGGTACCCAATTCCCACTGCTTGGTGTCCCAGTTCCCCGGTTCCCCAGTGTCCCCGATCCCTGGTTCCCAGTGCCTGGTGCCCGATTCCTCGTCCCCCGGTGCCCAATTCCTGGTGCCTGGTGCCCAGTTACTGATAACCAGTGCCCGGTGCCCCTGGTTCCCCAGTGCCTGATTCTCAGTGCCTGATCCCCGGTGCCCAATTCCCAGTGCCCGACTCCCGATGCCAGGTACCTGATTCCCAGTGCTCGGTGTCTTGGTGTCCCAGTTCCCCAGTGTCCCCGGTGCCCGGTTCCCGATTCCTCGTCCCCCAGTGCCCAGTTCCTGGTGCCCGGTTCCTAATACCCAGTGCCCGGTGTCCCTGATTCCCAGTGCCCGATTCCCGGTGTCTGGTACCCGATGCCCAGTGCTTAGTGTCCCAGTTCCCCAGTGTCCTCAGCCCTGGTGCCCAGTTCCCGGTGCCCGGTTCCTGATGCCCAGTTCCTCAGTTCCCCGGTTTCCCAGTGCCCTATTCCCGGTACTCGGTGTCCCAGTTCCCCAGTGTCCCCGATCCCTGGTGCCCGGTTCCCGGTGCCCAGTTCCTGATACCCAGTGCCTGGTGTCCCCAGTTCCCCAGTGCCTGATCCCCAGTGCCCAATCACCAGTGCCCGCTGCCCAATTCCCAGTGCTTAGTGTCCCAGTTCCCCAGTGTCCCCAATCCGTGGTGCCCGGTGCCCTGTTCCTTGTCCCCCAGTGCCCAATTCCTGATACCTGGTGCCTGGTTCCCGGTGCCCGGTTCCTTGGTTCCCCAGTGTCCCCAGTGCCTAGTTCCTGATTCCTGGTTCCCAATTCCCAGTGCCCAGTTCCCGGTGCCCAGTGGTGGTGCCCGGCCCTTGTGGGGCTGCAGGGAGCCTGCAGCAGCAGAGCCCCCGCTGTGCCCCCCAGGGGTGGTGCGGGGCCAGAGCCCCCCGCGCCCCTCATGGGCACCGTGCCCGTGCCCAGCCGGTCCCCCGGTGCCCGGTGGATGCTCTGGGGCCTCGTCCCCTGTGGCCCTTGCTGCCCGGTGCAGCACTGAGCACGGCCACGGGCTCTCGGTGCCTCCTCGGGGCTGCCAAACCCCCCCGGTGCCTCCCCCACTCCTCACGGGGAAGCAGGCTCGGGGACGCCTCCTGCCCCCGGGGTGCTGGTGCTGTGGGTGCAGGCGTTGGCCACCAAAACGGGCATTTGGCTGCTGGAAATGGGAACCAAAAGGGCAGGGGGCAACCCAGGACCCTCACGTGTCCCGGGGCTGCCCCCGGGTGTGTGCCAGGGAGGGAATCGCCCCCCAGGACCCCCGGTCTGAGGGCAGGGTCTCAGGGCACGGGGCTGCTTTGCGAGCCGGGGACGGGGCCTTGTGTGGGGACCCCCGGGGACCCCCTTGTGTGGGGTCAGCATTTGGGGCTCGTCCCCACGTCCCCTGTGCCGCAGGGGTTGTCCCTTCACGGGGCGCATTGCGCACACACAGGGTGCCTTCCTCCTGCCGTGACCCCCCCCCTGCCGCTCTGCTCCCCCCCCAGAGCATCGCCGAGTACGACCTGAAGGACATCTCCTACACCGTCAGGAGCCCCACGTGCCACGAGCTGGTGGTCGTCGGCGCCCTGGACGAGCCGATGGTCTTCAACTTCGAGGAGGAGCGGGAGGCGCAGAAGTGGTGGACGATCGTCAGCAGCTCCCTGCGGGAGGTGCAGAAAGGTCGGTGCAGGGTCCTGGGGGGGGGGGACGGGGACAGGAATGCCCCGGTGGGGGGTTCGTGTGTGCCCAGTGCTCCGTTCCTGGCGCCTGGAGGGGCACAATTTTAATATTTGTTATTTTAATATTGTTCCAAATGATTGGGGTGTGCGCCCCACCAGATTTGGGGAGGGGTGCCATGCTCCTGGGGGGGGGCTGGAACCCTCTGGGGGGCTCCGCAGGCTCCGGGCACAGAAGCACGCCGTGTTCGGAGCCTGAAGGAACTCGGGGCCCGTTTGTGGTGTGGAGCACCCAGGGGGCAAGGAGGGCACACGGGGCAGGGCGCTGGGGTGGGAGGGGGGCTGGGGGGGTGCAGAGCCTCCCCCCCTCCATCAGGGCAGCCCCACACCCTAAGGAGAGCAGCAGGGGACAGGGGGCTGCCCTCGGGATGGGCTTATCCAACCCAAACCTCCCCTGGCACAACGTTAGCCCATTCCCCCTCGTCCTGTCACCAGGGATGTGGGAGAACAGCCGCCCCCCCCTCGCTGCAGCCTCCTGTAAGGTACCTGTACCAATGCCCCCCTGCTCTTCCTCCAGCCTCCGACAGCAGCTCACTGGCCCCCCAGGCCTCGTCCCTGCCCGCGGCGGCTGGGGGCAGCTCCGCAGAGGGGGATCCGGAGGAAGCTTTGTTCTCGGAGCTCTCCAGGAAAGGTATTTGAGGTTTTGTGGCTGACACGTGCCAGGAGACCAGGGCTCCTCTCCAGGCCCATCCGCTCCCCACTCCGGGCCGACAGTTTTGGGTGCAAAGTCCAAATCCCATGGGATGGAGCTTGCTGTGGGGCGGGGGCTGCGCATCCCGGCTCTCCGGGGGCTCCAGAAACCCCCCGTGGGGCTCCCACCCGTGGTTCTCCGGCCGTGCACCACCGGGCTCTGCCCGTGGGCAGCCCCGCGAGCACCGCGCATCCGAGGAGCCTCTGCGGAGCTCCTGCTGCTCACCAGGTCCCTGGTGCCGTGTGGGGCTGTGCCGTGGGGCTGTGCCGTGCGGTGCCGGTGGCTGCAGGGCTGTCCCTCCTGCCCCCGCAGAGGACCTGGCGCTGCAGCTGGCTCAGGCCATCGAGGACGGTGACGAGGAGGCGGCCGCGCAGTGCGCCGTGGCCCTGGCTCGCCAGCAGGCCACCCTCAGCATCCTGCTGAAGGACTCCAACTACCCCCCCGACGACATCAGGTGAGCCCCGCTGGCCCTGTGCTCGCGCCCCTCCGCGTCCCCTCCTGGGCACTGCGGTGACGAGGCCAGGGGTGGGGGTTCTGGGCTGAAAGGGGGCAGATTTGGATGGGGTTTAAGGCAGAAATTCTGCGTGGTGAGGGGGGCGAGGACCTGGAGCAGGCTGCCCCGGGAAGTGGTGCCCCCATCCTTATCCCATAGCTTAGGGGTATGGTTTAGTGGGGACTGTTAGTGTTGGGTCAGAGGTTGGACTCAATGAGGTCTCTTCCAACCTTGAAATTCTGGGATTCTGGGATTCTGGGATCCCGGGAGGTGTTGGTGGGGGTGAGCTGCTCCAGCTCATGGCCAGGGTCAGGCTGGGTGAGCCAGAACAGCCTTCTCAGGACGTTGGGTGGAAAGTTTCGGGCTGTGGTGTGAGCGAGGCAGCGGGGAGGTGAGCGCTGCAGAGATAAGGAGTGTTTGTTCTCGTGTCCAGGAGCAGATAAGCTGGGAGGCCGAGGGGATTTAGGGAGATTTCAGGCAGGTGGAAGATTTTTTCACACCGTGTCTGAGCCCATGGTGGAAACGGTTGGCACAGCTGTGTGGAGGCTGCAAAAAGAGAGAGATTGACAGAGGGTGAACGAAGTTGGGGGAAAACAAATCCCACCGGCATGCACGTGGCAGGGGGCTCCGGGCTCGGAGCCGTTGGGTGTCCCAGCCCCGAGCCGGGGGGGCGTCCTCTAACAGCCCCCGATCTCTGCTCCAGCATGAACGTGGGCGTGGAGGACGCGACGTCGTCTGCCAGCATCGTCCTCAGGGTCCAGCCCCACACTACAATCGCGACGCTCAAGCAGCAGGTACGGAGCCAGCAGGGCACGGGGCAGGGGCTCGGGGTGCCAGAGCCCCAGGAGGGGTCCTGGAGAGCCCCCTGTGCTGGGGACGCACTGGGTTTACCTCTGCGCTTCTCCCCCCCCCCCAGGTGTTCCAGGATTACGGCTTCCACCCCCTGGTGCAGCGCTGGATCATCGGGCAGTGCCTGTGCGTGGACGAGCGGACGGTTTCGTCCTACGGCATCCGCAGGGACGGGGACACGGCCTTCCTCTACCTGCTGTCGGCCAAGAGGGCCGAGCTGACGCGGCAGCGCTACGAGGAGGACCAGGCACAGCTCCTGCTCAACTCCATCGCCGCGCTCGGCGACGGCGCCGCGGCCGGGGAGCAGCGCCAGTACAACACCCTGCCCAGCGCGTCCACCAGGAAAGGTCCGGGTGCTGCGCCCGTCCCTTCGGCTGGTGGGCAGGAGGGGCAGCCCGGATCCTGCCCAAATCCTGCCCAGATCCTGCCCAAATCCTGCCCAAACCCTCCCTAATCCTAAATCCTATCCTAAATCCTCCCTGCCTTCACGTGGCGTGTGGTCTGCTGGTGCCAGGCCATGTGGGAGGGAGGGTTTGGGGCGCTGCTGTCACCTCTGCACGTGCGGCCCCAAATGGGGAATTTGGTGCTCTCCTGGCCCCGGGTCCTCGCTCGGACCTTGCCGTGCCGGTGCTGAGGGGCTGAGCGGCCCCTTTGGTGCTGAGCAGAGCCGGGCTCTGGGTGCAGATCCCTCGGCCTCAGGAGCACACCGCGTGTCCGTGCTCCCTGTGCCGAGCTCATCCGGGGGGCTCTGCCCCTCTCCGTGCCGCGGCCGTAACGCGCCGGTGTCCCCGTCTCTCCTGCAGCGTGGGGGAGCGACCCCGGCAGGAAGATGGACATCGGTGAGATCAGCCAGCACCTGGACACCATGCAGATCGGAGACCTCGTCAGCAACCCCTCGGCGTCCGCTGCCACCTCCCTGCCCTCGCCGGTGCAGGTGGGTGGCCCTGCGCCCCCCGAGCCCCCTTCCCCCTGCACGCTGTTCTGGGGGGTGGCCACCCTCCAGTCTCGTTCCCCTCTCCTTTCCAACGCGCTTTTCCCAGCTCCTCACCTGCCCCGTGTTCTCTGCAGGCGGGCTGGTCGTGCCCCAAGTGCACCTTCATCAACAAGCCCACGCGGCCGGGCTGCGAGATGTGCAGCACAGACCGCCCGGAGGACTACGTGGTGCCCTGCAGCTACAAGCCCGACGAAACGGAGCTCTGGAGGATCCAGCAGGAGCAGGAGGGGATCCTGCAGTACCAACAGGTACCGGGGCCCACGGCCCAGCCTGGGGAGCAGCCGCTCTCCTTGTGCCCCTGCTGGGCAGTATCGGTCCCTGGCAGGGCTGGAAGGCGTCTCGTGGGCGAGCGGATCCTGCGCCGTGCTGGGAGTGGGCACAAAACCACGGGTGGCAGCAAAAAGGGGCTGCTGCAGCCCCTAAATCATCCCTTGGCAGGGCAGGCGATGCCTGCTGCTGTGCGCAGGGCTCAGTGCCGTGCCGTGTTGTGAGCGTGGCGTGCTCTGCTGTCTGCTGGGGGTGGTCACTGCTGGCCCTACTGCTGTGCCACCACCTCATGGGGCTCTGAGCGGTGTCACCAGCGCTTGTGGCTACCCAAAAAATGGGTGGCAGCTTCGGGCAGGGCAGGGCAGGGTCCCAGGACGGTGCTGCTGCTTCCTCTTGCCTCCTCGCACAGCAAGGAGCTGTTGGGCTGCGCTGTCTCTGCTGGGATTTGTTTCCTGCAGGCGCCGTAGAATCGCGCGTGGGGCTCTGCTGGGAGCCCCCACCCCATCGTGGGGGCGCGCTGCGGGGCGCGGGGGGCACCCGGCTCAGCCACTGACCAAAACCTTCTCTTCTTTCTTTTTTCTCTGGTGCTGGGACCCCGCTAGGAAAAGGGAAGGAGAGAGGATGGCTCAGCTGCGCACTGCGTCTTGGGCTCGGGTTCCTTGGATGACTTCATCCACCTGTCCTCCGAATTCTGCTAGCCGCCCCGTGCCCGGCCGACCCGGATGCCCCCTCCCGCCCCCCCCGGCCAGGGCTCAGTGCCCGCCGTGCCACCCAAGGGTCCGGGCTGCGGCCACGGCACCTCCCCGCCGTGAGAGGCCAGAGCTGGGGAGCGCGGGGTCCTGCCCCACGCAGGGGCTGGGCTCCCCTGGGAGCAGGGAGCACCAGGGGCTGGGGGCCTCGATTGTAGGGCTGAACGCTGCAGGGATGGGGCACAGCCATGGGGGGGGCTCTGTGGGCTGTGAACCCGGCCCCCACCAGCCCCCTGGGGCTGTGCCGGGCGAGGGGAACCTTGGAGAGCCGAGGGGAACCTTGGTGTGCCAAGGGGAGCTTTGGTGTGCCGAGGGCAGCCTTGGTGTGCCGAGGGGCTCTGCTTTGCCCTTGGCCGCCCAGTTCTCCCCCCAAACACAGCCCCCCCCCCACCAGCAGCCCCCTCGGGCTGTCGTTGGGGGCTGAGCCCCCTCTGGAGTGGTGCTGGCTGGAGGTGAGCGTGGCCGTGCTGGTGCCACGTCCCCTGTGTGAGGGCTCAGGGCAGAGGCAGCAGCGCTGGGGGAAGCGCTCGGTGCTGTGTGGGGCCGCGGGGGCTCGGGGAGCCGCGTGCCAGGACCCCGAGGAGCCGTGGTGGTCCTGGGGTGGGAAGCTGGAGGGGGTCAGGGCAGCAGGGCCAGCCCCCAGCCCTGCGGCGCTCACTGCCCCGCATCGTGCACAGGGAATTTGGTGTTTCCAGGTTGTTTTTTGTGTTCAGAAACCTCCCCCGGCCACGCGGGTTGGGGCTCACCCCGGGGGCTGGGCTCTCAGGGAAGGACGAGCCCCCCCAGCCCCATGCGTGACCGCGCTGCAGGGGCGCAGAGGAGCCCTCCCCTCATTAAAGCCTTACCCCCACCAGCGCCGCTGTGCCCTCTGCTTGCGCCGCCGTCACTGATGGGCTGCCTATGGGGGGGGTGGCTGCTGTTTTGGGGGGGGGGTCATGGAATTAAATGTTAGAGGAGGCGGTGGGGGCTTGCTTGGGGGGCTGCACAGGAGCAGGGGCAATGGGGCCATCCTGAGCTGCCTGCACCAGGGCAGGGCTGGGGCTGGGGCAGCCCCCGTGCGCACAGAAATGCTGAGTGAAGGGGTTTGGGGCTGCGGGGCCGGGCACAGTGCGGGGACACGGAGCTGCCGGGGTGGCTGCGGGGGTCCCATGGGGGTCCCAGGGCTGGAGCAGCTCCGCCGTGGGGCCGTCTGAGGGCTGGGGGTGCTGGGCATGGGCAGGAGAAGGGTCTGGGGGAGCCTCCTGATGGGCTGCTGGTGCCCAAGGGGGCTGCAGGAGAGCTGAGGGGGTCCCTTTGTGGGGCTGTGGGGACAGGGGTGGACTAGGGGGTGGCACCCTGTCCGTGGTGGGGGTGGCATTAAATGGTCTTTGGTGTCCCTTCTAACCCAAACCATTCTGTGACTGGATGGGGGGGGGGTGGTTTTAAGCCAAAAGAGGGGGGATTGGAGTAGGCAGAGGGAAGAAATCCTTCATGCTGAGAAGGGCCCAGAGGAGCTGAGGGGGTCCCAGCCCACCCAGAGGAGCTGGGGGGGGGTCCCAGCCCTGGCAGTGTTAACGTCAGGCTGGATGGGGCTGGGGGCAGCCTGAGGG